TTTTTTATTGTGAATAAAAAAAACAATTGGACTTGTGGATGGATGTGTGTGTAAACAATGTCTCCCTATATTTTACAGACTAGTTGATTATAACATTCAGCCAGACAAGAGAATTACTCAACAGTTATTATTCATGCGGTTAGGAATTATAGGGAAACTTGAATAGCTTCCATTGTCATTGTTATCCGAAATTTTACGCACAACGCATGACTATATATTAGTGATTTCTGAGTGAGAATTGCGTGACAATATTGCGTTTAATTGTGATTAGTGAATTTGTGCTTCATGTATCAATTTTATATTGTAGTTAAGACGGTTGTAAGTAATTTTTGAGCTGTTTTTGAATATACTAGTGTTGTTTTAGATAATGTTGGCGACTTATAAATATAAATAGATTATAAGTTAGTGTTGGCGACTCTATAAATATAAATTTAAGTATGAGTAAGTTAGATAAGAATATGTACATGATTTAGGTAAGAAATATGGTTAAACCAGCAGACAGGCCAAGCGTTGCTGTGGCTAAGGTTTTTGTTATATTACATAGTAGTAAACTATTCCAGGGAAACGGTAGGAGAACTTATGTGAAACGGTGGTACTTTTAACACAGCGCAATCTGTTAGAAATAATAAACAAATATTTGCAATAAAATAATTTTGCGGGTATAGATTGAGATGTAATCCTATATACATACTAGTATATAGTTATTTTGGGCTGGCGATCTGAGTGAGTTGTTGCCCCACATATTTTTATGGTGCCACTGGCGGTATTGCTGTGTACCGGGTTGTGCAGCTCCCTCAAAAATGGTTGAGCTGCATGAGCTATTCGGGGCATGCTTGCCGTCTGCTGGCACAGGCTTGCTCAGATCGATCTGGTTCTTTCTTCCAAAGACCAGTCCAGTAAATACTCTGCATTTGTTTACGCCAATTTATTAATTTATTATTGTATTATCTGGACTATAAAAGAGACTAAGACCCCCGAGTTTGTTTCGACATTTCTTCTCAGGGCAGTCAGTTAGGAAATGTCGACTTCATCTAGTTTAGGATGACATTGTAAAAGTGATTTATATAGTCCTACTTGCAAGAATAAACTATTTCATTTCATTTCATTTCTTTTAAGTTAGATCAAACTGCACACGGTGTGCAAATTTGATTGATATCGGTTCGGTAGTTTAAGAGTTCATAGCGGACAAACAACGTTACACGTAATTTATATATATTAAGATTAGGAAAGTAAATTAATGAAGTTCAACTTTTCTGTTTGGGCATTAATGGTAATTCAGTCGGTCGAAATTACTTATTTTCCTTATACGTATATAATAGGTATAGTGACACTCAAATGTGTTGCAAAAATTGTTATTTTAAGAAACAACATTTAGAGTTTGTTATTTCAGTTGAAAATCAGTTTTATCATATTTCTTTTATAATCAATCCAAAATGTAATCACAAGAAAAACTTCGTATTCAAATTAAAATGACTAACACATACATAGACAAACAAACCTAGCGTCTTTTCCACAGACTAACAAACACAACATCTGTAAAAAAAAGATAATCTATAATCTAATTTAAGAAATATAATTATTTCGTTACACATATAAAATAAATACTTATGGTAGGGGAGCCCACGATGCTAAATGGGGATTTACTCGAGCGTCGTAGAGACCTATTGGGATACAAAGCTTAGATAAAAAGAAGAAAAAAATGTTATATGATAAATTCCTTTTCATCGGTGGGGGAAGCGGCTATAGATAGTTAAATATGTAAAAAAAAACTGTTGCATGGACATCCTCGAGCGCGTCAGATATTGATAGCATCTATGCCCTACGTATTTTTAATAATGTACGTATGTTAATCTGATCGTTTGCATGATGCGGGTGGTTGTATTTAAGGGTTGAAAAGAAAAAAAAAAATTTATCGAGCGCGTCAGATTTTCTAAGGGAGTGTTAAGTGCACCAAAAAAAACTCTCTCATTCACTAATCTGACGATTTCGATGGGACGCAAACCCACAGCCATTTTCTTAATTTGCAAAAAAAATCGCAATTTTGAAATACTCAAGCGCGTCAGATTAAGATATATGTGGTTCATCTTTATGTTCTAAACGTACTGTCTCATAATCTGACGATTATCTAGAGGGATTCGCCTGATCTGACAAAAAAAAATAGAAAAACGGTTCACCTAAAGGGCCATCCCTGCAACTTCCCGCTAATTCCATTCCTGGGCGCTTAAAATTGATATTTTGAGCTCGCTGAGTTCAAAGAAATAACATTTCTATGCATTTGAGCTCTCCCAGCTCGAAAGTCTGATAGAAGTTTCATAGAACACTATTTTTGGAATTTTCAAACCGCAATAACTTTTGAATGGATCAAGCAATTTTCACGCGGTTGGCGGCATTCGACGCAGTTTTATCATTCTCATAAGTAATTTTGCAATTTTAATTGATCGAACCACAAATTTCGGAGTAATCCCGAAAAAACACTTTTCGGGTTTCTTTCATGTACGATATCTCTCGAACGAATCAACCGCTTTTGACCAGCTTGGTGGCGATCGACGTGGTTTTTCAAGCTCAAAGGCGGATTAGTTTTTGAAGTTGATCGATAAAGAAACCACTTAAAAAAAAATATTTCTTATTTTTTTAAGATTTTTCAAAATTTCTCAAAATCTATCGGTCTGAATCGGTTCAAATTCACAGGAAATGTAATTTTGAGGGAAATATTTTGAACGCCGTTTAGTAGATTCCGATCGGTTTAAGGAAATGTAGGCATCACGCAGCTGCACGCATTTAACTTTATCGACGAATTTTTGTTATTTCGGCTTGCGGAAATCGTCAGATTATATATTTTTCATTATTCTGGAATTATTTCCTTCAAAATAAAAGAAAAATTAGCTACGCTCGAGAATGTCGAGATGACGTTTTTTTTTACAACTTTGTTGCCCTCCCCTTTTTCCGTCACTCTCAAATTGTCAGATTAGTGGAATATACACTTTTTAGGATGTAATTAACTCACCCTACCTTAATCTGACGCGCTCGGGAATTTCTGATGGTCAATTTTTTTTTACTAATCTGATCCTGTCTCCTTCACGCGCGGCCTTATATATGGGCCTCATATTTTGTGGAGGTACTTAACCGGGTACAAGGTATCCCCCTATATAGTAATCTGCCGCGCTTTAGTAAATCCCGAAATCCCCTCTTGGGCTCCCCTACCATTAGTGTTGTTATAGAGTTTTTGAAATCGTTAAAAAATCCCTGTAGTTGTTGACTTTACGGCGTACCTTTGTACCAACCAACAATTTTCTTTTATTACCTCTTCGTGTATTTTTCTTATTTAAGTGCTTGTCACATTAAAAATTTTAGTGTATTTTTCTTGTACTAATGTATCAGTGTGCCGAGCATTGGCAAGCTTTTATACGTAAAGAAAAAATTGGCGGTTATTCGGTTCGATATCTTTTTGAATATCAGTATAGATTACTATTAAAATTACAATACTGTGGGCGTGGGAGCGTGATTGAATTTCTTTTTTGATAATTATAAAATTGTTATAAGCGTTTATATAATCTTTATTTTTAAATTTAGTCGTTACATATATTAAACACGCAAACACGTTTACTCGTTAATACTAAAATGTTATGTAGACGGAATGATTACACACGAAAAGTAATTAAATCTTTAATTAATTAAAAGAAAGTAATCGTAGAATATTTCCTATTTATTAGATTAGTAGCTTTATTAATACATAACATTTCTGTGATGGTGGAGCACACTCACAGTTTCTCCGTCCACCGAAGCCTCGACATTCATTACAATAGTATTGTCAGGACAAAAGCAGTGTGGGCCTAGTGGCTTCAGCGTGCGACTCTCATCCCTGAGGTCGTAGGATCGAACCCCGGCTGTGCACCAATGGACTTTATATCTATGCGCGCATTTAATATTCGCTCGAACAGTGAAGGAAAACATCGTGAGGAAACCGATATGTCTTAGACCCAAAGAAGTCGGCGTGTGTCAGGCACAGATGGCTGATCATCTACCTATTAGATTGACAAATGATCGTGAAACAGATTTTAATCTAAGCCCAGACCTAAAAAGGTTGTAGCGCCACTGATTTTATTATAATACCAAAAAACTACATTTCTAGAATTAATTATGCAAAATTGGATCTCAAAAAATATGATTTTAGATCCTAATAGATCCTTAAATGATATACCCCTTGTATATAAACTATAACACAAATTATGAAAATTACATTTTCCACCTTACCAAAGATCAGGTGAGGAAATATTTTAATAAACGGAAAGACTGACTTTATTAAGCAGTAGTAACATTTAGTTTTTTTAATATTAAGTTACGTTTGTTAAAAAAAATAAAATAAATGTTTAATTTCATATTCGTTTATCAATGTGATCTGTTTTGGCTTTGTATGTTGTCTAATTCTTATATAATATGGATATGAGTAGACTTATAAACTAGTAAGATTACAAAAAACAAAAAAAAAACATTTATTAATGTTGGTAACACAATGTACACGTCTTATGAACGTCAAAAAAAAGAAATATACATTAAATGCTTCTAAATTTACATTTACTGCCAGTTCTCAATACAAGGGCGTAGAACGGAAAAGAAGAACTGGCAATAAACTCTCCGCCACTCTTTTTAATCACCAAGTTTTTGTTTTACACAACGTTTGTAAGGAGCTGCAACCATTACACCATGTTCCACATGACATCTTGAGTAATAAATAAATAACTAATGAACATTTCATACATACCTACTCTTATTACTCATATATTCTTAAACCAATATTAGAAATATTATTTGAATGGACGGTTATTTATAATTGACTTCAAAAAAACTTAGCGGAGGTTATCAATTCTGTTATATTTATAGCATATGGATGATTTTAGGCAAAGCTTTAAGTCTTAACTTTCACCAAACAAGCAGTTCTACCCATAGAGACATTAAGAAGTCACCCGAATGTCAAACTTACGAATAAATAATTCTTATTCCAGCTCGAGGAGGATATGTTCTCCTGCGGGGGCGAACTCCGCGGCGGTCGGACACCACCACCTACCCTGGGTCCACCTCCGGATTCCCTGACACCAGTGCAGCTCCGACGGCGTCACGTGGTAGCTGCTATTATACACAGCGAGAATTCATATGTCGCCACACTTCAGAGACTTATAATTGTAAGTATATTTCTGGTCTTCACGTGTTTGTAGCGTTGCAGTTTTAGTCGTAAAATCATTTGGAATTAAAAAAATTGAAATCTGTAGTTTACGAAGCTTTAAATGAATATCAAAAATTTAATAGTAACCAAATTGTGCCTATGTAAAGTCGAGAGCCGTTAGTAATTACTCAGAACGAATTTGCAGCGGAAGTGCGCAGTGGCAATTATTCATGCTTTTTAATTGTTATGTAATTAAATAGAATTTTTTGACAAGGCATGATCAAATTGCGAAATCTTTCACCAAAAAACCAATTCAAGAAAATGTTTAATTTAACAACTATGCGTTACATGCTGATTATTGTGTAGGATAATAAAATGATTTAGATTTACGATAGTTTTAAAGTACCGATATCAAAAGTTCACGGTGGATTGGCCTTCTGAATTTTGTTGCGTTATCACTAAAAATATGTAGTATGCCTGTTCGCTAAGCTTTTATCTTTACAAAATAATATAATTTTTTTAAACAAATGTCTATTATATATATTAAAGTATTTATAGTACATAACAAAGTCTTGTGTATTTTGCTTTATATTTTCTATTAATAATTTTTATATTTTTTTCCTAATAACTGTCAACTATTTTTTTATATGTGCGGAATGCACATATTGGCTGTTATAATAATAATCTAATGGCGCTTTATCCGTACATGAGTCTTGGCCTTATATGGCATACATTCTTTCGACCATTTTTTTATTTTATAGACAAGTCGGTGATCAGCCTTGTTTGATACATGTCATCAATATTTGGGGTTGTGACATGTTTCCTCACGATGTTTGCCTACACAGTAGGAGCAACTGCTAATTGCGTACATAGAAAGAAAATTTCAGTGATGCACAGCCGTGATTCGAATGCATGACTTAGGGATGAGGGTCGCACGCTTAAGCCCCTAGACCAACACTAAACTTGTTTATGGCTAATCTGTAATTGTATTATTATAACCAGATAAAGGAATACTAAAAACAAATTGAAATCAAATTTCATACAATATACAGTATAAACTCTATATAACGGCACTCAAGTACTGTGCATATTTTGACGTTACAAAGATTTGTCGTTAAATAGAAAGACAAAAAATCTGTATTAGAAAAAGAAAAAGTTTATTTCATACTAGTGTTAGTAATTACATTAAAAGCAATTCTTATTTGAAACTATTGCGTATAGTCTGGTTTTTTCGCCTGACGTTTTTTTCTGCACCAGTAATTATGTTGTATATTTTTACTTGTTTTATTCATATCTTGCAATATTGAGGCATATTGATTAAAGCACGTGCAAGCAATCCCAGGTTGTACACAAAAGAACGGATTTCTTTAAAATTTCGGGACGTATGAGGCCGACAGTCGAGTTTAATACGGACTAGGACAATAAAGCGACAAAAGAACGTACTTAAAAAATACTTTTTATTATTAATTTGTGGTGAGGGTGGGTGTAATGCTATGTAGAGTGTATCATTGTATGGAAGTAAACCTAACCAAACAAAGCCGACTGATTTCGACGATTTAGAGGGTTTGTCGTTATATGAAGTCTACACTGTATGCCTAATCTGAGAAAGGTCAGTAGGTCTAATTACAAGTCTAGCTAAGTTTTCTAATCTATTGTTTTACGGGAAAGCTGAGTCGAAAAACAAACACGAGACAAATGACCTACTTGTATTGTTCATAGATTTGCATATTAGGAAGTACATAGTAGCAACTGCGAGGTCACCGTTTTATTAATTGGTGTCCTGTTTGCGATGATAAATGCGTTATTATGCGGTGCATACACCCATTCTTTAAAGGTTTTAGTATACGTGTTTTTATATAATCGGATTGGTTGCCATGGCAACTCGTTATTGATTAATGGTCACTGTTTTATAAAAAAATGCGATTATTTTGTACTCATTTAAACAATTTTCTTTCAAACTATTTCTTTTACTATATTTAATCACTTAAAAATATTAGTCGCAATGCCGATTCAAACTTTGCGACAGTGACACTTTGACATTTGTCCGTAACTTGTGAAGGCATAAAAAGCCATAGATAAATTCTATGACAATAGACGTTCTATATTTGACCTTAAAATGTCAAAATACTGCGTTGCTTCTTGCACAATGGTGTAAAGAGAATTGGGTTAATAACTTGTGAAGTTGTAACTATAAAGTTAATAGATTTACGCAAATCAAGTCCGTGCACAACAAATTAAATGTATTAATGGTAGTTGGCCGTTACGTAGCTGCCTTATATTTAGATGAAACTCGATACTAGTTTCGCTTCAGATGACAGTCGTAGGGAATACATTGTGTGTGCCAGGGAATTTTTATCACTAGAGGCAAGCACTTAGAATTAACTTCCGAATGTGTTTCCAGCGTTTGGGGGATTGGTGTTCACTTCTTGAAGTCGTATCGGGAATAGCAATTAATTCATTAATGCCTAACTGATACGCCGATCAGTGTCCTGTCAGTTGTAATACCGTTTTTTATGTAGCAAACGAAATATAGAGAAATTAGTCGAATTTTTACTCTAGATAAAATTTTGACTGACAGATATGTAAGGTCCCTTTTGTAGTATACTAGTCACGGTTCGAGTTTAGGTTCAAATTTGTAACTTATATAGCTCAAGTGATGATGATATATATGCTATATAAAATATAATGATTTGTAATATGAATGGCTGCCTAAAGTTTTATTAAAAGAAGAAGAAAATGCACTAAAAAAACGTGTTTACACAGTAATTAACTACGTATATATATTTTAACCTTACTATTTTTTTATCAAGTGACATGCTGAGCGAAGTATAGGGCGTTTTTCTAACTTTATTTATCATTGAAGTCAACGCTTTTTTAAAAAATATATTAAAAAAACCAATAACGCTACGACCTTTTAGATCTCATATTGATGTCTTTTTCGTGATTATTTGTTTTTTTTAATAGGCAATTAAGCCATCAGCCTTCTGTGCCTAACACCGTCGACGTTTTGGGTCTAAGGCTGGGTTTTCTCGACGTCTTTTTCTTCACTAAAGTTACTTTATAAAGTCCATTCTGGGACGACACTCCAAAAAGCCAGGTCAACACTGCTCATTATATTGTATTTACGTTTAAATTTTTCAAATCACACAGTAAATAAGTAGGTCCGTGTTGGCCTTGGAGCGAATCTCATACTTGAGGTCGTAGCTTTGATGCCCGGCTGTGCACCGACGGACATTCTGCCTAAGTGCGCATATAACATTAGCTCGAACGGTGAAGGAAAACATCGTTAGGAAACCAGCGTGCCTTAGACCAAAAAGTCGATGGCGTGTGTCAGGCACAGGAGGCTACTACTGGCCAATTAGATTGACAAATGATCATGAAACAGATCAGACAGACATCTGAGGTCTAGACCTAAAAATGTTAGCCACTGATTTATTTTATAGTTTTATTTACTGTGTAGACAAAATATTTGAATTTAATTTGCTTGTGTATAAATAATGTTTACATAAATCAAATAAGAGCTATATTCAGAGATGACGCGTTGGCAAGTTTTTATTGCGTGTCAAATCTCAATGTTATACGATGTTATACGATGTTAAAATTCAAATAACATCACAATCTGTATGATGGATCACTTTAATGTATCTTTCTGTTTAAAATCATATTTTTCTCGAATTATATTGTGTATGATAAATTACGATTATGTATCTAATTTTTTGTTTTGTTTTTAATGTGTCCTTACTTTACTAGCCTCACTTAAGACTAATAAGTAATTAAAATCTAACCTAATTTACTAATAAGGATATTTAACATAAGAAAGTGTCCAATAACTGTGTGCACGTTGCCCTAACAGTAATTCACTAGGTCAAATGGATTTGTCCTTCTTGTCAAATGGACTTGAGTAGCTAACAATTAATTATTATCTTAATTCAGAAATTAATTGTAATAATTTTAGGTGAATGTTTTATTTCTGATTTTAAATTACGCTAACAGCTAATTACGACCATAACAAAATATATTAGCTTATAAACTTTTTTTTCTAATTGAGACGTTTTTGTTTATTGTAACTTTTTATGTTATGTATAATTCATTTTTAAAACAGTTTCTATGTTATACATTGTCTAACGCAGTGTTTTAATCAATTAATAAAGTTTTGAATTTTACTTTCAGGACTACAAGAAACCCCTAGAGGAGAGCAGTCCAGCGATTCTAAATGGGAGCAAAATACAGACACTCTTTCACCGGCTTCCGGATATCCTGCAATGTCATTTACACTTTCGCACCGCACTTGCCGACTGCGCGCGGACATGGGACCGCGATGAAAAGATAGGTGGGGGTTGTGGTTTTTAATAAATTAAATTCTGTATATAAAGGTGATTTTTAAATTGAGTCGAAAAGCGATTTTTTTTAACCAAAATTTAAGTATACTTATTATTTCCCACATTTTCGTTTATATGTTATCATTGTATTTTGTTTTTTGTCTGGATCAAGGTGAATAATGAAATGTACTGGCATTACGTATAAAAATTTAATTGTTGCCCTTTGATAAAATATGTCAGAATGACACGATTGTCAACTGTCAAAGATTAGATATGTCGATGTTATGTTAATTGCAGACATAGATAACATATTGTTGATCGATTTTTGTATGATGTTGTTAATAATATATACTTACTCATGCAGTGAATATTGTAAGGACACCAGCACATACGTATATTACCAGAGAAACTATCAAAGAATATGAAGAAAGAAGATATATTGGGCCAAGGTTTTAATTATTGATTTTCTTATTTCAGGCGAGGTCTTCTTAAACGCGTTCTCAAAGGCAGTAGTGCTTGATGTATATTCGGACTTTATAAACAACTTCTCCGTCGCAATGGAGTTGGCAAAAATGGAGTCGAAGAGGAAATCTGCTCTGGCTGACTTCTTCAAAGTGAAGCAGATCAGCGCACACGATAGACTCTCCTTCTTTGGGCTTATGGTGAAACCGGTGCAGCGGTTTCCGCAGTTCATCATGTTTTTACAGGTTAGTTTTTAAATTAGCGCCATCTAGTTTAATAATCATAATATTCTTTTTAATTGAATATTTATATATTGGTTAAGTACTCATGTTTTTAAAGCGAAATAAGTTTTTATAATTTCGGACCATATACCATTGATTTTTTCTACAAAATGATTTCAGGATCTCCTAAAACACACACCTCCTGGTCATATAGACCGTGTATCACTACAACGTGCTTTGACGAGGCTTGAAGCGATGGCCGACGCCCTCAATGAGAGGAAACGGGAAGCTGAGAGGACTCAGGTAAGGATTTATGCCATACATAAAGGGTAGCTTTTGAATGAATATGGAAAATAGTATGGTTTATATTTCAATCTGTAGATCAAGTTAATAATTTTAGGTTCAATGTAAAGCAACTTAAACTTTATTTATTATCTTCACAATATAACTGAATATCCTGGATCCGATTTTCGGCGAAAAACTGTATAACAAAATTCGACCATGTCTTTATTTTTGAATAGTTTAAATAAACTTTTGAATGCGAATTAATTATCATATTTACTCGACTTTTCGTTTAAAAACACTCAACTGAACTGAAATAAATTCGGGTTCGCCCGTTTAAATTTTTTTAGTGTAGGACTAAGTCTACTTACAATTTGTGCCTACAAATATATAAAACGAAGGCTCTAAATTATTTTCTTAATTTTAGGCGTTCCGCGGTGCCCTCCGTCGTTTGACTCGCGGCGGTGTAGGCGCAGGTGGCGCAGGAGGCGCGGCCAGATTTGGCGCAGCCCGACTCCTCGCTTCGAGAGCCGATAAGCGGCATTTACTACGGCAGGACGATCTCTTACAACTGGTAAGTTTTTTTAATTTATTATAATTGACCTATTCTTTTCTTGATAATTGTATTTTAATTTATTATAATTGACCTATTCTTTTCTTGATAATTGTATTTTAATTTATTATAATTGACCTATTCTTTTCTTGATAATTGTATTTTAATTTATTATAATTGACAGTGAAAATAAAATGGCAGAGTGACAGCACACTTGTTCTTTATTTGTTACGTCTCCCAAAAAGTAGGTTTTAATATGGCTGGCTTTGGCTTATATAGGCTCATCCCCTCCAAGTGGCTGCCATTTGCGGTTGGCAGGCATGGCGGTTGGTTGGAGGGTTGGTCAACATGGCATGGCTTGGCTTTGGCATTGGTTATGGCATTGGCTATGGCATTGGCTATGGCTTTGGCTATGGCTTTGGCTATGGCTTTGGCTTTGGCTTTGGCTTTGGCTTTGGCTTGGCTTTGGCTTGGCTTGATGTGACTGGCGACGTCACGTCCGTTACATTATTTATAAAGGAACAGCCCGGCAGCAATATAGCAGGCACTGCAATACACTTTTAGTACAGTTCATTCATTATACAGTATAACGCGGTAGACCCGGACTGCGTTATAAGAAATCGCGTTGTAGGAGTATTCGTGTAAAAAAGGTGGTGGGTTGTCGTGAAAATAAAATAAATATAAATTTCAAGACGATTTTGTACTAAGTTTGACCATATTTTACAGATATATTATATGTCGTAGCCAATAAGCTTAGTAAGCCCTTAGGTCGAACATCACTCAGGCCGCTAGTTAAACGGCGCTGTTAATTAAACTAGTTGGCTGCGACATATACATATGTTTCTGTAAGGTGATTCGTAGTTCACCGGGTCATATATGTATATATTTATGTTGTTTACAGGAATTTAATCAATCAGGCACACTAACAAAATGCAAGCCGCGTCGCTTGTTATTACTAAACGATCTGGTTGTTTGTGTGTCTGTGGGTGCTGGGGGAGAGGAGACGGAAAGACTTGGCCTCAAATGGGCGCACCCTGTGCAGGACGTCGAAGTACTCGATACAGGGACTTCGCCCACGCTCAGTCGAGTACTTGCTCAGGGTAAGTTATATTAGTTAATTTTTATCATCTTCAAGTTGCCGGGGGTCGTTCAAGTATTACGTAATACTTACGTAACGTATACGTAACACTATAGGGTGAGTCTTTGATTTTCTTATTTGGTGATTATATCAACAGTAATTACAGTAGATATAACGACTTCGCTTGAGTTTCATTAGCACGTATACGGTGTGTCACATATCCATTGCACTCCTTTTGCCCGGTATAACCAATACCTGTAAAAAGGAAATGGACACGCGTACCGGCTGCACCGGCCTCGCTTACGTTACGTCACCGATCTCGTCAGAGAGATGTGAATACGCAGTATTCGTTCTGTCCCGCTCTAACGCGCATTGGCCGCACCTATATTACGTCATAGTGTGTTAGGTTTATTTTCGTTACGGAATTTATTGATTCGCTCGCCGCGCTCAAAGCCCGCGATAAAATCTATGCAATAGCTTAAAAAGTATTTTTTTCCCAGGTATGAATCGTAGTGGAAGTCTACGTTCCAACTCTAGTAGCGGCACCACCGCCGGCGACTCACTCTGCAATGAGATGTCGGCGTTGATGCACGACTACGAGACCGTGTCGAGGATGGCAGATCTCGCTGCTTCACTGAAGACGCCGTATGCTGAAGTGGCTCCAGAAATGTTTAGGACTCTCTTGCAGAATATACAGCAGAGTATACAGGTTAGTTCAGAATAGTTGCAGGGTTCTTGGGCCCATCATATTTTGTTTTTACTAGGGTTGTCTGGAAGTGATCGCTTGATAGCGATAAAGCCGCCAGTTGCATCCCTAATAAATTTTATGTTTTAAGTATTTATGTCATAAGTATTATGTTATTTGTTTTTCTATAAATGAAATGAAGTAAGTGTGAATAAACAAAATAGAAATAGTTCTCAGGCTTCACAGGTAAAATTAAAATTTAAAGAATTAAAAAAAATCTGAAGAAAAAAACTATGGTATATATCTCGGCTATTACCTAATATACTTTCAAATGCAAAAATATTTTTTTTTCGCTTAACATACAGTACCGTATCATCATCATCGCTAAACAAACATACAGTAACTGTAGTACAGTACTTTGCTCTATTGTCAATGGTTTCCGCAGCGTATGCCATTTTGGAATTTTTATTCGTCTTTTTCACACTCTGGGTTACACTATCGTAATTTTAACTTTGATGATGAACTTTTTTGGAAATATTCTAAAGCCTAAGTTTATCAGGGATAACGTAGAGTTATATTGGTGAAATAATTTTTCAAAGCGTCCTGTAATTTTAAAGCCTATGAAATGCAAACTATAGAATCTTGCCTTTATAATGTTAGAGGAGACCAGCGCACCCGACAGACGTTAAACCGTGCCCACGTCGAACAAAAAACCACGTTATCAAAATCGGTGCAGCCGTTTTAGAAAGTTTCATTACAAACGAAAGATTTGATAGAAATAGTAAATAAATTAGTTTTTTTTTAATCCTTATTAAAAATTCCAGAAAAAAGATGACGAAATGGCCTGGGTGGATTCCTGCTGCCTTCAGCTAACAATCAGAGGTCGCGAAGAGCCAATCACCTTCAGGGCTAACGAACCAGGGGCGAGACGGGCTTGGGCCACTGAATTAAGGTTGGCCCAGCTTGCGCAGGCGCGGGCCAACGGTCCAGCTTGGAGATTACCGGCCAGTACCACACCGCCTCATAAGATGCCATTGTATGTGACAGCTGCGCCTGTTTACTCATCGAATTCTCTGACTGAGGTAAATTTTAATATATTTATTACATTCCAAGTTATTTTTTACAGAGAAACACTAAGTATATTTATTTATTAATTCACCATATCATATATAATGTTATATCTACAGTATATGTTACAAGCTATCTATTTTAACATTTATTTAAAAAAAATTAAGTTAATAAAGATATATAATTCCAGTTTTAGATTTTGTAATTATATCAATTTTAGATGTGGGTAAAGTGCGGGCACGAATGACTCGAATTAAGTGAAATCTTATAGTATTTAATTTAGAATTATTCCTTTTAGCAGTACAAAGAACACTTTAGCTTAAATTATAACGAGCAGCATATTTCAAGGAACCGATCTCACTTTTACTCACCACATTGCTCCACTGAATACTCAATCAGTACTGCTCTGCTCTGATTGGTCGTAACAATATTCGTACTTTTATTCGTTAAATAATGATTCCATACTTTGAAGCAATTTAATAATAACAAAACAAATCGAATCATATTAAATTATGATTCTTAAAATAATTGAATAAATCTCAATAATTAAAACAAAGGAACAATAAAAATGAACGCTCAATTGACTCGATCAGAACCATTCCTGATAATCCGTGAATTTCCTGACTAAAACTGAATATATATAGAATAAAGTTTGGGTGATAGTGCTATCGTAAGCCTATGTTAACAGCAATTTTGTACATAAAAAAAGTGTGTGTACTTATGTACACGCATTAGAAGTTATACTTCTTTGGCGTAACAAAATAAAAATCTTTTCAAAAATTTTATCTTTCGCCTTATTCTAAGTTTGTAGAAAAAACGACACTAACAATAGAAAAAATTTACTCTCATCATTTTTCCCTAACGCGCTCTAAAGAAGTATAACTTAAAAAATTGCTAAATATTTGCAGGTGAAATGCGGCTGCTTCTACTCGAGCACGGGCTGCAGTAATGGTGGCACTCGTCGTCGCGCGAGGTCTCTTCTGTGGGTCTGCGCAGGCGGCGGAAGTGACAGTCACGTTTCCGTGCTGACCCATCGGGCTGCTACGCTCAAAACGCTTGTTACGCTCGATCTGCCAGATATTAGGGTGAGTTTATTAAAACTGTTTTGTGTTCGAATCTCGCGAAACTATATTTGATATGCCTTTGTTAATAGAAAAATACAAAACTATATGATAACTAGCATCAATTAATGATTAATTTTTTAAAGTATAAAATTATTTTGTTTTACGATATTTGGTCATAGCGAGGAAACCATTCCGTCACTTTTTTCGTCCATTTGTCTTTGTCTTCATTCATAATGTGTCCATTTCCATTTCAGTTCTTTACTAGAAGTAACAGTATTTCTAAACTTTGTCGTGTTTTTTATTTTACTCAATGTTTTAGTTTCAGATCTAGAACTGAGAACACTCCTTTCGATACTATTTTGACATACTATCTGTTTGTTATCTTATTTGTCAGTGAGTAAGGGGAGCGTTCAAGTATTACGTAACGAATTTTTTTCTTTTGTAAAACGTTACGATGCGGGGCGGGGATTGAATTACGCGTTATTGTTAATGTTATTTTCGACTTTCCAGTTTCCACCACATAATGGTAACTTTTAGGTATATAAAGAGTCACTGGGTGGTCACGAAACGTTTTACTATTGGGTACAGAAAACCCATACATTCTTTATTAGCTATTAGATTTCCTAAATAGTGTACTCATTTACATTTTCAACTTGATCTTCGTTCACGTTTAAGGGCATTTCTAATTCAATTTGTCAACACTACTCACTAATTAGTAAATGGTCATACTAATAATGTATTGAAATTTCCAGGTATCATCAATAGAATACGCAAAAGGAGTGAGGCAAGTGACCACACTGTGCGGCGACACAGTCTGGCTCGGCACTGAGGACAAGAAAATCATCATATTCTCGGGCGTCGAACCCGAGAAGCAGGAGAAACTGAACGAGGTCCCCACTGTAGCGGCAGTCACGCAGATCCGCTACCACTGCGATTCAATGTTCGTGGGTCTCTCAAATGGAAGAATATCGGTGTTCAGAAGGAATCACGACGACTCCTGGGCGTTGCAAGAACCGATCGCAATAGAGCTCGGAGACCAACCGGTTCACTGCATTCTACCAGTCGATGGCATCATCTACGCGACTTGCGCCAAACGGGTCTTCGCTATCAACGCCTTGACCGCTGAAATCATGCGCATCATAGAACTCAAAGGCGAAGGAGATCGTTCGGTCAAGTATTTGGCACATTCCGGAGTCGGTCTTTGGGCAGCTTTCTCAGATTCCACGTACGTCAGCTTATACCACACGGAGACTCTGGAACATCTCCAGAATATAGACATAGCCGCTGATGTGGCCAAAACTATCGGAGCAAGAGAAGGCAGCAAACCGGCTCACGTGTCTTCCCTTTTGGCGGTTCAAGGTCTCCTATGGGTCGGAACCACCGCCGGAGTCAGCGTCACAGTGCCTCTGCCAAAACTAGAAGGTCTACCCTTAATCGGAGGACACACCGCGGTCTCCTACCACGCCCACGCCGGCCCAGTTACATTCCTTCTTGCACTAAACCCTGATGCAAAAGACGTCGACGTCAACGTCGTCAGACGCAACCTGTCGAATGCTCGCGCTCTAGCCGACACCGTTCACGAGTTCAAAGAAGAAGAGGAGAAGAATAAACTCGAACGGCGTATCTCCGAAGAAATGAGCCCATATAGGCCGCAACGTGTCCAATCTGCTGTGATAAGAAGGAAGAAACCGGGCGACGTACGTCTAAGCAAAACTCTGCCAAAGTGCGCGAATCTCAATGCGTGTGATGTGTACGGACTTTTCGGTGATTTAATGTTTGTGAAGGACTGTGTGGGTGAAGCTGACGTTAGTGGTTCTGGAGGGGAGACCTTGCGACGGAGTGATCCTGAATTAGCGGCGATTCCATTCCGCGTCAGTACCTTGGACAGACGGCTGCGGATGAGGGCGGGTAGACCGAGGAGTTTGGACTTGTCCAGCTGGTCCGTTGACTCGCGAGCTTCAAGTCTATGCACGTCATCTGGGAGTGAGGAATCGATGGCTCTACGGGGCGTGTCTCGAACCAGTTCGGGCGCATCCGGGGCAGCTAGCTTAGTGCCATTGGCCGTGTCCACTCCGGACTCGGGAAAATCGAGCGCCTCAGAACGGTCAATTTCTAGAAGCGATTCGGCGAATCAGCCTGAGCTGAGACAGAAGAAACCGGAAAGAAACGCTGTGAGGAGTTTACGTGGAACGGATTACATCGTGGAGAATAGCAGAAGGTCGATAGTGACAATTATGGGCGGGCGAGGGTATGTCGACTGGAGGCAAACCGCTGATGCGGCGGAACGGCCAGTGCCGGCGGCTGACCCCAATCCCAAAGACGCCCATCTTATTATGTGGGAAATGCGCTTGTAATAATGAACACCATTTATAAACTTCAATCGATGTCTCGTTTGAATATAGAGGGTGTTCAAAGAAGACCTTTCAAGATATTTTGATTGACTTGGGTGACAAATGGAGAGTCTCTTCTATATTGGTGTCATATGTAAATAAATGGTGCATGTAGATAAATGTAAATAAGCTAATAACTGCATTTCACAGACTGTAACGGCTGGCCTTACACACAATCAGTTATTAACCGTTGAAAAGTCAGTGAAAAGAGGATCTGAATTATTAGTTTCCGCGAATTTTGAGTCTTTCCATACATTTGTGGTAATGAAATATATGAAATGACTCGAATAAATATTTTCATAAAAGGTTTGTAAACGCCTTTGCGATTAGCTTTAAATTATTTTTCGATATCATTTAAATCTAATTATTTGTGGTAAACAGGTCACATGATATATCACATGGGGTCTATTCTCACGATTTAAGAAAAGTTTAGAATATTTGTCTTAACAAAATTTGATTTTGTATACAATTAAATTTAATGTTATTGAGAGTGAAGTGGGGATTTTTAACACCATCTGGCAATACTGAAAATATATAAAGGTACTTCATTGAAGGAAGAAACAATTAATAGAAAATCGCTTAGTTTTATCTTTCTATGGAATGTTTATGGGTAATTTTTTTTTTAAATTTTTGCAATATTTATAATTGTATTGATTAATGAAATTAATTTGAATTTTCATGGGTTCGATTCCCGGGTGGTGTTAAAAAATTTCGCCTTATATTTAAATCCAAATCGTTGCAACCGCCATATTAACATAGATTATTTACTGTTTTACATAAATTAATTACGGTCTTATTAGAAAACGTTGACTAAATATTGGTGTCGGTTGCCATGGAAACGTCTTTTAAATTGTTACCATGGCAACGAGCGGTATCTAATCTACGTTTTATAAGGATTAAGTTACTGTTATACAGCCCCGGGTTCACTGGCGCTTTAACGGCCTGTTTATATAAAATTAACTAACCGTTTAAGCGTTGGCAAGTTAACGGGCATTATTACGTTATAGTTAACTGTTAAATCGACTTATTTAAAATCGTTGAACTGAGCACAAATTGATTCGAAATTCTATATTTACGTCCGTCTCTTTCGTACTTAGTAAGAGTGAGGGAGACGGCTAGTGTCCTATAACTAGTGGCCTTATTTTTCAGTGTTATAGCATTTGTTTAAGCTAAATCGCTTTAAGAATTAGACTGATTTAAATTAAGCGTTTAAATTTAATATTTTACGAAAACGAAACGAGTTTTGTGACTTTGAGCGCAATATTTATTGTATTTGGCACAATTTTGCTGTCTAGCCAATCAAAATGTGTGTTTGTTTGATTCTGTGTATTTCACATACAAATATTATACACATTAATAGCGCTTAATACTTTAATCTGGAACACAAATTCTAATTTCTATTTATTCCTCAAATTTATAATTTTTTATAAAATTTCAACTTCAAGTAAAAATATTTTTTTCTAAGTAAAATCACAACACTTTCTGTGACTATAGGCTTATTCGTGAACTTAAGATTAAATATTGTCATCTCTTTCTTTCAAATTGCGTTTACAATGAGATAAAAAGAGACAAACTTAGCAATTCTCTTTTGGACTGCCATAACTGGATTAAATAATTAAAACTAGAAGCAAGTTTCAGACTGCCAGGTTAGTCCGTAAAACTGAATCGGCAAAAGTTTGTACTCAGTATACTCAATAAAAATCAATTTTGAAGTAATTAATTATTCGCAACATGAACTAGCGTAATACGAAAATAATCGTATTGAAGTTACGGGGTAAGCCTGCTGATTTGTACGCACAACTTTTAAGTTTTCTAAGTATTTGTAAAAATGTATAGGATGATAGAAAATGGAAGAAAATGCATTATATTTAAATTAAAAACAATTTTTAAAATATCCATTAAAGCTGTTAAACACGCAACAATTGGAATAATTTAAAAAATGTTTTTAATTTAAATCTCCGAATCCGTGCCAAACTGTTCCGTTAATTCGAATGTAACATTCAAACATTGTTCAAATTTATGTCACAAAATAATTAAGGTGTAAATAAATTTAAGTTTATATGTATACACCGGTATATCGTCTTTTATTTTGTATCACCTTCCCTCTGCCGGGACTGGAACGCATAACTTTAGGGGTGACAGTCACGCCAAGCAACTAACTCAAACTTCAACTAACTCTATTCATATAGGTAAACCAGTACACTTATGAACGTCAACAGAAAAGATTTATTAATTTACATGTACTACCAATTCGCAAGTCAAGGGCGTAGAGCGGGCAAGAAACTCTCCGCCACTCTTTTTAATCGCTAAGTTTTGAGTCACACAAGTTTCAACTGGAGCAAATCAATCCCAAGGATTAGGATCATTTAAATATTCGTCAATTTTATAAAAGCTTTATTGATTAATTTACGTTTAACGATAGCTTTAAATTTATTTAGTGAAAATTCTCTAATTTCGCTTGGGAGTTTGTTGTAAAAACGAATAGAATTTAATTAAAGGAGTGGTTTATCTTCTGGAGCCTGGTTGGTCTACTACTACTAGACTGTTCCTTCGTTCGTTCTAGTAGAGACCGGATTATATGCAACATAAAAAGCTTGTTACATGCACGAAAATTGGCAGCATATCCCAAATTTAATTAAATTTTTGGGATCCAAAAAAGATTATTTTTTTCATAATCAGCGCAAGTAGTCATTAACTTGGACAGCTTATAATAAGTACCATGACATTAAAATTATTTATTCCGAAAGCTAACATAAATTATATATATAACAAAAAACAATTACAATATATATTGATGATATAGCCAAAGATGGAATACATAATTAAATACAAAGAGGTTCAAACATTTACTAACGGAAGAATTATTAAATACGTTATACCTAATTCGGTCTGCTGTGTGAAAGTGTATGTAGGTGAGGGTATGTGGGGTGTGCTCATGATGCAGGTGATTTAGCGCGATGGATATTTTTAATACTCCTTTTAAGCATATTCCACGATAGCTTAAACAAGTCAAGGCTTAAATATTGGTCGTTGTATGTCTGAGCTGCGCGATACAAAACTGAGTTTTTGTCATAGTGTTGATGAGAGGAACGTGAAACAAAGCAAGAATACGAGTCTGGTAGGTAGGAACATGGAAGTGCTTTGTTATGTTGAAAGCAATCAAGTATTGTCCTAAATTTTCAGTGGTATGATTGTAACGGCAGAATTTGATACTTGGAAGCTATTTTCTGGTAAAAGTTCTGCCGCCCCATTAATGAAACTACCAGTTTGACAAACTGCAACCATTACACCATGTTCCACATGACATCTTAAGTAATAAATGATAATAATATGAATTAAAAACAAAGATTTGTCCTCTATCAGCAGGAGGCATGGTGAAATAGGAGCACGCAAATACATAGTTGAAATAACTAACATAACAACATAATCTATCTGCAAATAGATTGCAGATTATTCTCTCTGCAGTGAAGTGACTCATACCTCAACGTGCCCAGCAAAAACGCGAATGGGGTCCATCTTATTTGACATTAATTTAAAGCCGCAGTTTTTTATAGAATTTTTAAGTAATTCTTTTTGGACAAAAAATTCAAACTACAAAATGCACTAAACAATAAAACAATTAAATATTATAAATCTATCTGAAAATCGAGTAGCTTTCCTTTATTATGATATTAAATACTTTAAATCTGTTTAATTCAAATTTACATTATATTACATTACTTTACAAAATTTTAAATTAATAATCCCTGAGAGAGCCAAATCCATTTCCAAATCGAGAGCCTCCGTTCTGATATCCGTTGTATCCGTTTCCACCGAAGCCTACACTTCCGTCAGCGGATCCACCATCGACGTTGGTAAAACCGGAATCGACTGCCTGATTTATCTGTAGAACGTATTTGTTAATATAATATAGGTTTTAAATAAGCTAATTATAAAATACTATTATATTTCACCTTTATTTCATAGTTTTGATTTGAAAACTGGCAGTATATGTAAAATTAGAATTTAATATGTATTTCGTTTTTGAAGTTCATAATTACATTGTGTTACCTATATATTGAATAAATTATTTTGACTTTGACTTTTATGGTTATAATATTGTGTAGTAATGTTTGTATATAATACAATAACTTTCCTTTTCAAAATCTGATTTTTATAGAAGCTGACAATATATTGCTTGAGGTCAGCTTGAAACGGCAAAGATAATGTGTCTAAAGTTGTTTAGAGCTTTTATATACGTACAGAAACAAAGCTCCGAGATTATGCATCCGTTAATTATTTAAATAAATGAATGGTTTTTTTACATTTACAAAGAAAAAAATCAATTTTCAATTATAACGAAACACAAACTCTCTCTGTTTAATGATTATAAATGTGCATTATACAGGTCGTGACTGTATAACATTAAGTTCATAATACACCAGAATTCTGATAACTCAGATTTCCAATCCCACTTGCCACCAAAGCCTTGGCCTCAGAATTCTGTGTACAACCAGATATGTGCGTATTTATGTATTTTTTTTAAGATTTTGAACTTATTTGAACGTCCCAATTTACAATGATTGAAATATTATTACGTTTTTTATTAGTTTACTAGGTGAGCACCAGGTAATCAAACCCATTACAAACTATAAATATTGCATCTAACTAATACATATCTCTGTTATTGTGCTATTTTATTTCTTAATATGAATAATCTAAGATTTATATGATGAATGGAATAAAAATGTAAATTTTAATAAATAATTTATTTTTGTGTAACTTATACAAAAATAGAAAAGCTAAATGTCAAGATTCCTCGTATAAAATATAAAATAATTACTTATATCATCATTCCTTGGCTACCGGATCCAAAACCATTTCCGAATTGGGAACCACCGTTCTGAAATCCGTTGAAACCATTTGTACCATAACCGCCATTGTTCATCGCTGATCCACCGCCGATGTTATGAAACCCGGAGTTTTCAGCTTGGTTTATCTAAAAATAAAATAAACTTAATAAGCACTAATGAATTTGGTTCTTCCTAATCTATAAAAAACAAAAAATAAAATCCAAAGTTATTATTTCTAAGAAGTTTAAATTATTAACAGCGATAAGTATTGGACAAATTGTAAAAATTATAAGCCTTTTCAGGTGTTATTACCAAGATAAAATAATTAAGCATAATATACTTACGGATGTAACTTTATTGTGATGAGCACCAACGTTGTGAAAGCCACCCGCTCCGGCATTCTGGTAGCCTTGGCTTCCGACACCACTTGCGCCACTGCCATAACCAGCACCGCCATATCCGCCACCGCTGGCGTAACCACCACCCATTCCACCCATACCGAGACCACCTAGGCCCATCCCTCCCATGCCGAGACCACCTAGACCTATACCCCCCATGCCTAGACCACCTAGCCTACCCAGGCCAAGGCCAGACCCTAAGCCTACACCTCCCAAGCCTAGTCTTCCTAGACCTACGCCAAATGGTTGAGCATTTAGTGCTACAGCACAAGATAGAACGATGATTACCTGAAAGAAAACGATATTTATTAACTATTGATTTCAGATTTCGGCCTCTTTCTCATGATCTTAGACCAGTTGACTGATACACGTCTTCGATTTTTGAGCTCCACTTCACCGTACAAGCAGGTATTAATTAAGCATTGGGCGTGATTTTAACCTCAAGAATGAAAGAACAAAAAGGCTAATCAAAAAAAATCTGATTTATAATGTCAAATTAAATATACTTACAATACACTTCATGTTGTTAACTGTTGAATAAATCTGCGTTAATGATAAAAAATTGCTTTACGCGCATATTTATATTGAACTATACTAATTTGGAAACGCATTATTTAATAATGTTTGAATGGAGTTATTGTAAATGACAGTTGAATCGTCATTGATGACGTACAAACCTACGGAAACCCTTATTTCTATAATTACGTGATTAAGTAATTAAATTTTAATTTAAAAGTCTAATTGAAGCCGTGTACTTTCCTAATGACTTTTTTATGAAGATTTAAAGTAATTTAGGATTGAAACATTTAATGAGAATATTAAGAATGTTCCAATAAATTTCCAGATTTCGGAGTTCTGTTCCTTCTCAGAGATTCTAACTGATGAATGTCGTTGAATCATTGTCCATAGACAATTATGCTATATTATAATTTATTTCTCGAAGTTTTAAACACTTATATATGAAGATCCTGTGTTTCTGTGGAAATTTTGTCATCAAGGCAAGTTGTAACTATGTAAAGAAGTTGATGATCGTAATCGTTACACAATGATTTTTGGTACCGACGTCCAAAAAAATAGTTTCAAGGATCAGATTTTTTTTTTAATTTCCCTAAGATATTAAATATCATTCAAACTAACTTAACATAATGCATATTATATTCACCACCGTATGCCTATGTTTCAAAGATTCTTCAAAGCACTATAATGCATTACAATTAGGGATGTGACATTCTGCATAAAAAATCGATTTTTTATTAATCGATTATTTTTTTAGCATGAATAATCGATTAATAAATAATCGATTTTTCTTAAAAAAATAATCGATTTTTTTTATTAATCGATTTTTTCCTAATTTTTGAATTAATTTCAAAATAAACACCCTAAATATATTATTTTTCATGGTTTTTTAAATTAAAAATAAACAATAGAAATTATAAACACAAATTGACGTTTAAGAATAATCAAAATTGAAATTAACTTTATCTCGTTTTGATAGATTTTAGGTGAAATTTGATAAATGCTGAGTGTATGCCTTTTCAGTAGCACATTGCAGTATTTTTATATGTAGTCTTGTGCTGCTGAATAAATTTATTTTACTTTTAAATTATAGTGTGCCATTCAAACTTGAGTTTTTGTAAAATTAACTGCTTTTATCATCCTTTTGATGTTTTACAAAAAAACATCAATGTATCGAGTATATCAATACATCTTCAAAGAATCCGATTCAATGTATCGCTTTGTAAACATCGTTGTGTATCGAATATCCCTAATAGTTCAAGGTCCGGGTTATAAAAGACCAGACATAATGTCGGGAGGTGGCAGATAAAAAATCGATTATGATTGATTTTCAATTATAAAAATAATAGATTATTTTAAATATAAAAATCGCGTAAAAAAATCGATTTTTACTTTTAAAAAAATCTATTAAAATCGATTTTTTTAATAATCGATTATTTTTTCACATCCCTAATTACAATGTATTATAGTGCTTTGAAGTCTCAAATTTATGGAGTCGAAAATGACGGTCTCTTCCAAGTCATGGACAATTTTTTTTCATTTCCGGGTCATGTTGAAGCCATGTTTCGTTCATAGTTATGAATCGAGGCAGTAATCGGTCAGAATGTATTCTGAAACCTCAGTGCGCTTTACACACTTTTTTTACACCCAAATGTTTGTGTAATATTATTGACACTTGCTATAGAAATCCTAATTTCTTATGCTATAAAACCAAAATTATTTGTTACAATCATTTGTTCAGTCACCAATCTGTCTTCCAATGTAGGGAGTCGTCGTTAATGGAAGTCCTTCTTCGCTTGAGGAGCATGATATTCTATTACCGCGTGAACTTAAATTTTACCCATTTTTAAGAAGACGTTCCAACACTACGGAAACAAATAACTTAATTTTTAATATTTAATTTTTTTATATGAAACTTCCTGATAGTATTAATGTTTTTATTTCCAACAAACATTCGCATTATCTTCTTATATTGAACAACCCTCAGATATAATGTAAGATGTCGATCGTTCTTTGTGCACCATCTTCATAATTTCGTATAACATTAATATGTTTTATTTCGTCAAAATCTATCCATACTAACCGATCAAATTATTGATATGGTTTCCAAATGAAAACAACTCTCGGGATTCTGAATATATTGGCTTTTTTAATAAAATATAAGTTCATTTCTAAATTACGTCTTGAAGTATTTAGTTCAATTAGGCTTTAAATTTTTAAATACAACTTTAATTTCCATATTCGGGGTTTCGTATGTTTTTAACGTCATCAATGACAAATCAACTATTATTGATAATAGTTCCAGTCGAACGTTATTAGATAATGCGTTTCCAAATTAGTGTAATTTTATATAAATATGCGTTTTGGCAATTGTTTATCATTAAGGTTGGAGCATTCAACAGTTAACAACATGAAGTGTATTGTGAGTATTTAACTATATTTGCTGTGTTGGCCCAGCGGTCAATTTCTCTTATTCATGCGTTGAAATCCTTTGCACCAATCGATTATTTTTAACTACCGCTTGCTTGTACGGTTTATCTAAACACCGGAAGGAAACCGGCATGTCTAACTCTTTATAGTCAGTAATGTGTCACAGGCATCATGAGACACATGCAGAAATCTTAAAGCAAGACTTATTTTCTTTCAGGTAATCATCGTTCTATCTTGTGCTGTAGCACTAAATGCTCAACCATTTGGCGTAGGTCTTGGTCTGGGAAGACTAGGCTTAGGGTCTGGCCTTGGCCTAGGAAGGCTAGGTGGTCTAGGCATGGGGGGAATAGGTCTAGGAGGTCTCGGAATGGGAGGGATGGGCTTAGGCGGTCTCGGTATGGGTGGAATGGGTGGAGGCTACGCCAGCGGTGGCGGATACGGCGGTGCGGGTTATGGCAGTGGTGCAAGTGGTGTCGGAAGCCAAGGTTACCAGAATGCCGGAGCGGGTGGCTTTCACAACGTCGGTGCTCACAACAATAGAGTTACATCCGTAAGTATATTATGAATAGTTTTATTATCATGCCAATAACAGCTCATAACAGCAGCTGAAAAGGCTCATAAATTTGAAAATTGGTAGAAATAAGTATCAATTTGAATTAATTATCAAGCTAATATTTTATTCACTTTGGATTTCAAATAGGTCTTAAAATAATTCTATTTTTTTATTTGTTTTTTGTTGATAAGTAGTAGCAAGTTTATTGGTGCTTATAAAGATAACTTTTTAATTTCAGATAAATCAAGCTGAAGATTCTGGTTTTAATAACATTGGCGGTGGATCAGCAATGAACAATGGTGGTTATGGTGGGAATGGATACAACGGCTATCAGAACGGTGGTTCACAATTTGGAAATGGTTTTGGATCCGGTAGCCAAGGAATGATAATATGAGGAATTATTTAGTATTGTATGCGAAGAATAACGACGCAAAGCTTTTTTATTTTTGTTAAAAACAAATAAATTATTAAAAAGGACATTTTTATTTCATTAATAATATAACTCTTCGAAAATTTACTAAGAAAAACCAATGCCAACTTTTGCTGAAATTTGGTTTTAAGAAATAAAAAGATTCGGCAATAGACACTTGCTTACTCAGTTACGAGAGGTGTATGAACATCGATGCGATATTTGTCATGGAGATGATGATCACCTGGGGATCGAATAGCATTTCGCTTAAGGTCTTGTAAAGATAAAAAATAATATCAACCTGTTTCATCATAGTGCCACTTTTATAATTCAGTTGTGTAAAACCGCGAATTTAACGTTTAAGCTTTTCATTCCCCTTCTTGTTATCTAAATAGAATATTGGCAACTTTTACACTGAGCACCGACGGATATAACTTTTTTTAAACCATTTTTAAGTAACACCGTCAGAAATAAATAATATAATCTTATAGGCATCTTATAAGCGTTTTTAACATGGGAAAATGTTTTTATGCATATCCTGTGCAATTGCTTGTCCCGAGAATTATGTGGGACTAAATGCAGAAAACCGCTCCGCCTACCTTGGGTTGAAACCACAGGAGAGGAGATCATTACCTTTTATTAAGACCTTACTAACTATTTAATACAGCACACATATTCAACCGGAAATCAGATCCAACATGCAAATGCGACATACAAAGAATAGAAATAGCATCTTATTATAGTATGTCCAGGATTTGGAGCCTCCACATGCGACCTGGAGCAACAAATCGATATGAAGGTAACTGCCAAGCACTTACTCGAAAATATAAATAATTGTAAAACACGTCACTCATTGCAAGAAAAGCGTATCCTTCTTTTCGCTATTTGATCCTCCCGCGTAAGGTGAATAGTTTCCGAGATATTTCGATTGCCCAACTTGCCCCTATGCTCAACTAGCCACGCCCTACCCTACTTTCTTAAGGCTAAAACTCTGAACCACTTTTTTTTTGTTATGTAATAGGAGGCCAATGGGCAGTTGGCTCATCTGATGTTAAGTGATACCGCCGCCCATGGACACTCATATTGACAGAAGGCTCGCAAGTGTGTTGCCGGCCTTTCAAGAATTGGTACGCTCTTTTCTTGAAGGACCCTTAGTCGAATTGATTCGGAAATATTTTAATGAAATCTGAACCAGTACCTACTCAGATTTATAACCTGTTTCATAAGATTCATAGAGAAGTAAGGAAGGGGATGACGGGTCTGGGCGTTACTCCATACGATTTTTTGCGTTTTCTGAGAAGATTTACTATGGTAATATATATATATTTTTTTTACCATAGGAAAGTAGAGATTTCAACGAACTGAAAGCACACCAACTTTTTGAAAAAAGCTAATATTTTGACGGGTGAATTTTCGATTGAAAATTAGGGTGTTTTTTCGATATTAATTCAAAATAAGGTGAAAATATAAATATTTTTAATCAAATAAATTACAGCGTATTTGGGACATAGAAAGGCAAAATTTTTTGTAAAAGATAAAAATTAAAAACCAAAAACTTGTTTTTTTTAATTTTTCACATAAATTTTGAGGTTATGTGAAAAATGTGTGAATACAAACGTTTTAGATCTTTTTATTACCTACAACTTTGCCATTTAACTTTCTTCGATAGAACTTTTAGTTTTGCCGGAAATCGAGATAAACCGTTTTTACCCTTAAAACTCCCCCCCCACCACCCCTTCCCGACCTCAGATCGCCCGTATATTATTTTTCCTTTAATTTTTATAATATTATCCTCCCTTTCCAATAGGTTTCATCCTACTATTATTATTTCACTTTTTATTTTTTCTAAAGGCTATCTGCACTGGTCTAATAGTTGTTATTGTATTAAAAAAATTCAGTTCTCTTTCATAAATAATTTATTCTCTTTGTTGTCATTTATGTATTTAATATATAAAAAAACAGAAAAGCTAAATGTCGTTATTCCTTACATACAATACTAAATAATTCCTCATATTATCATTCCTTGGCTACCGGATCCAAAACCATTTCCATATTGTGAACCGCCGTTCTGATAGCCGTTGAATCCATTATCACCATAGCCGCCATTGTTCATCGCTGATCCGCCGCCGATGTTATTAAAACCAGAATTTTCAGCTTGGTTTATCTAAAAATAAAATGAACTCTATAAGCACTGATGCATTTGGTACTACATAATCTATAAAAAACAAAAAATAATCCAAGGTATCTGCAATATGAATAAAATTTCTAAAATATTAATTTATACAATTTTCTGCATGTATGAGCCTTTTTAGCGTTTATTAAAAAGACAATATTCCATATATATATCGTATTAATGACAGGAACTTACGGATGTAACTTTATTGTGGTGAGCACCAACGTTGTGAAAGCCACCCGCTCCGGCATTCTGGTAACCCTGGCTACCGACACCACTTGCACCACTGCCATAACCCGCACCACCGTATCCGCCACCGCTGGTGTAGCCTCCCCCCATTCCACCCATTCCAAGACTGCCTAAGCCCATCCCTTCCATTCCGAGACCTCCTAGACCTATTCCCCCCATGCCTAGACCACCTAGCCTTCCTAGGCCAAGGCCAGATCCTAACCCTAGTCTTCCAAGACCAAGACCTACGCCAAATGGTTGAGCATTTAGTGCTACAGCACACGATAGAACGATGATTACCTGAAAGAAAATAAGATTATTTAAGTCTTGATTTCATATTTCAGCATCTGTCTGGTGATCTCTTATAGGACATTTGAGTGACATATGTCTTAGTTTCTTGAGTTTTGCTTTGAGTGTTTATTAATTGAATCTCAATACTAAAATAAATTAATAATTCGGCTAAATCAACAAATTTATATTTATAATTTTTAACTGAATATACTCACAATGCACTTCATGTTGTTAACTGTTGAATGATTCAACCTTAATGATAAACAATTGCCAAAACGCATATTTATATAAAATTACACTAATTTGGAAACGCATTATCTAATAACGTTCGACTGGAACTATTATCAATAATAGTTGATTTGTCATTGATGACGTTAAAACATACGAAAACCCTAATATTTATAATGACGTCGTCATAAGGAAATTAAAGTTATATTAGAAATGCCTATTGAAGCCTGATCGATGCCAAGTAACCAACCACTTTTAAAGACTTAATTTAGACTGAAATAAAAAAAGATGGAAGATGCTTTCTGACGCGCAGAAGCAAACGAGATTGAGAGTTTCAAAAAGGCAAACAGCGTGGCATGCTTAAAAACAATGTATAACGATTGCGATCATCAACTTCTCTACATAGTAAAACTTGCTTTGATGATCGGATTACTACGGATTCGGAAGTACCTACAACATATTATGACTAACGCATTATGTCTTGGTACCGACCTAATAGGCTCTTCAAATAAAAATAAAATAAAATATAGCATAATTGTCGATGGATAACGATTCTACGACATTTATCATTTAAATCTCGAGCATTTTTATCTATAGTTTTCTGATAAGGAACAGATCTTTACGGAAAATTTATTGGAATATTCTTAATATTCTCATTTAATGTTTCACTCCTAAATTACTTAAATTCTCCATAAAAAGTGATTAGGGAAGTCCACGGCTTCAATTAGGCTTAAAATTAAATTTTAATTTCTTAATGACGTAATTATAGAAAAAAGGGCATTCGTTTGTTTGTACGTCATCAATGACGATTCATTTGTCATTGAAAATAGCTTCATTGATACATTATTAAATAATGCGTTTCCAAATTAGTGTAGTTCAATATAAATATGCATGTAAGGTAATTTCTTATCATTAACTCAGATTTATTCAACAGTTAACAACATGAAGTGTATTGTAAGTAAATTTATATTAAAATTATTAATCTAAATTTGTTGTGTTAGCCCAATGGTTAATATCTCTTATTTTAGCTTAAACCTGCTTATGGGAGTGATGGGCTTAGGTGAAGTGAATTTAAAAAATCGAAGTCATGTCTCAGTCTAAGACACAGGTCTAAGAACATGAGACAAATGCCGAAATCTAAAATCAAGCCATCTTATTCTTTCAGGTAATCATCGTTCTATCTTGTGCTGTAGCACTAAATGCTCAACCATTTGGCGTAGGTCTTGGTCTGGGAAGACTAGGCTTAGGGTCTGGCCTTGGCCTAGGAAGGCTAGGTGGTCTAGGCATGGGGGGAATAGGTCTAGGTGGTCTCGGTATGGGAGGGATGGGCTTAGGTGGTCTCGGTATGGGAGGGATGGGCCTAGGTGGTCTCGGTATGGGTGGAATGGGGGGAGGCTACGCCAGCGGTGGCGGATATGGCGGTGCGGGTTATGGCAGTGGCGCAAGTGGTGTCGGAAGCCAAGGCTACCAGAATGCCGGAGCGGGTGGCTTTCACAACGTTGGTGCTCACAACAATAGAGTTACATCCGTAAGTATATTATGAATAGTTTTATTATCATGCTAATAACAGCTGAAAAGGCTCATAAATTTAAAAATTGGTAGAAATAAGTATCACTTTAAGTTAATATTTCACTGACTTTGGATTTCAAATAAGTCGTCAAGTAATTATATTTAATTATTTGTTTTTGTCGATTAATTTGTAATTAGTTTATTGGTGCTTATAAAATTTCCTTTTTTTTTAGATAAACCAAGCTGAAGATTCTGGTTTTAATAACATCGGCGGTGGATCAACAATGAACAATGGCGGTTATGCTGGAAATGGATTCAACGGGTTCCAGAACGGTGGTTCACAATTTGGAAATGGTTTTGGATCCGGTAGCCAAGGCATGATAATATAAGAAATTGTTTAGTGTTTATACGAGGAAAAATGACATTTATATTTTCTATTTTTGTATATAAATTACATAAACAATAAAGATAATAAATTATTTATGAAAGAGAACTTTTTTTAATAATATAAATAAAATAATTATTGCTGTGTGATAGTTCGATGTCTTAATTTTTTTTAACTCCAATTTATTTATTTACAATCAAGTAAACAGCATATTTACAATTTTCTTAAACTACAAAGTAATAATAAAAATAATTAAAAAGAAAATCAAAACCAATTTAAAAAATCTCAAATGATATTCCGGCATCGTGCTTTATCTTCCTTGGACATCCATATGTCGAGCGAGCCTGATGGCATCACCCCAATTCTGCTGCGTACTTGTGTTCCTGAGTTGGCTCCGGTCTTAAGGCACCTTTTCCGGTACCTGTACTCGTCAGTCAGTATATACAGTTTTTGGAAAGTATATCAATAATTTAATCGCTTGTTATGGATATATTTTACGAAGTTTAACACTGAAAAAAATTAGCATCACACAATGTTTTACTAAGAAGCTGGTAAATCAAAACTTGAGAGAAACATTATGCGTAGAACTTTAACGACGACTCCGCACTGAAAGCATCGCATCGGGCATCGGGATAGCCTAATACTGTTTGTTTTATAGCAGAAGATATGAAGATTTCTAAAGGAAGTTTCATAATATTACCTAGTTAACTGATAAGAAAGGTTTTAGAATTCCAAGTCATTTTAAATCGGGACGTTCAAATTATTTTTCAAGAAACACACACAAAAATACATAAATAAAATGGCTTGAATATGTAACTCTCAACTCAGTGGTCATTCATATGGTTGATCAGGAATTTTTGTTTTCTATGTGTATCTGTCACCGTAAAATTGTAAACACCGCTAGATTGTAATTTATCTCGCGAGATTGTAAACTGTCGAAAGATTGTGAACTAAGCGTACTGCATACAATTTAACGTATTATTATTCGGTAGATTGTAATCTATCGAAGTGAAACCGTCAAATTGTGAAACGGCCATTTTCTACTTTTCTATTGGTTATAAGAGATGTAATTTCAAAATTTTCGGAACCCTACACTAATTGAAACATGAAGTTAATGTAATGTATGTACATTTGACAAGTAATGGTTAAATTAGGTTTAACTTTAAAATTAACAAATGAGGAAATAATCGATTCGATTAGGTTCAACTTTAAAATTAACAAATGAGGAAATAATCGATTGGATTAATTGACCGAAAATGTCACATCACTTATAACCAATAGAAAACAAGAATGTCACATCTCTTATAACCAATAGAAAAGTAGAAAATGGCCGTTTCACAATTTGACGGGTTCACTTCGATAGATTACAATCTACCGAATAATAATACGTTAAATTGTATGCAGTACGCTTAGTTCACAATCTTTCGACAGTTTATAATCACGCGAGATAGATTACAATCTAACGGTTTGTACAATTTTACGTTAACATATCTAACTTGTAGGGTTAAGGTAGTTATCGTAAAAACGATAGCATGTCCTATGCAGAAAAGTTTAGCATATAGTACTAAACTGGTGCACAAAGTACAGCGAACGAAAAAGATGAAGACGACTTAGAAGGTGGATAGACCAAATTAAAAAAAAAGGTGGTACATGGCAGAGAGTGGCACAGTGCAGAGAAGAATCCCGCCTTTCTGGCGGCGTTAGGCGTTATAGAGGAGGCCTTTGCCAAAAAAGGGCACACAGATATCTAAAAGAAGATTGAAATAGAAACGTGTTTAAATGTAAAAGTATCTGAATTAAAAGGCTGTTATTATTATTATAACTTCATTAAAATTTTATAATTAATCATACTTACAATACACTTCAACTCAGCTTTGAACAACATCAAAGCTGAGTTCAGACTCGTTAATGATATAACATTTTCGAACGCATATTTATATAAAATTAACTACTTTGGAATCGTATTATGTAATAGGGTTTGGAATGATTTCTTTATTTAATTTAATTAAATAATTATATTAATTATACACCTGTGACAAACCCTAGTGTCCCTAATTGCTTCGTTAAGAAATTATGATAAATTATATGAAAAGCTCTAATTACCTTATTAAAGCTAATTTTTAAATTATAAAAACTGTTCGATTTTAGTAAGAAATCATTCATTGTTTGTCTACATTTTTAAATCATCAAACACTTATAATATTTAAAAGCGTATATGTAACAAAATATGTTAAATTTAACGACCTAATGTTAACCAACATAATTGCATTTTTTTAAATTTATTTATTTATTAAGACTGCTATGGTTACATTTATTCAAAGCGCAGCGGTTTTCTAATGAAACGTATTATGACTTTATTATATTATTCTGTAAAATAACACAAATAAAAAATAATAATATACTTTTGCACATAAGACACAGATTACACACTTATATACAACTGGCGAACTGACTTCTAAGCGATTTTTTCAACCCACCCTCGTAAAAGAAAACAGTAATAAATAGACTTGAAAATGTATTGTACGAGCCAAGGCTGTACATTTTGCTTACTCAGGTTTTTGTTTATAAGCGTGGCGATTGCCTAATTAGTCAGTTCGTCATCGTCGTGTTATGCGTGAGTAAAATCTAAATGTGAAAATCTTCAATTATTTTAGACATAAAAAAATCGTTTTACTTTTAATGAAACTTAGTACTCATATACAAATAGTTTATTAATACTATAGATTACAATTAAAGCGTCTTAAATATGTTGATAATTATATTATCATTCCTTGACTGCCGGATCCAAAACCATTTCCAAATTGTGAGGCACCGTTTTCAAATCCATTATATCCGTTTCCGGCGTAACCAGCGTTATCCATCGCTGATCCACCACCAACGTTGTGGAAGCCAGAATCTTCAGCTTGGTTTATCTGGAAAGAAAAGCAATGCAATGAAGATATATGAAATAATAATAATATAAAAAATATACTAAACAAAAATAATAGACAGGCGTAGGTAACCAATGCGTACTTACAGATGTAACTTTATTGTGATGAGCACCAACGTTGTGAAAGCCACCCGCTCCAGCATTCTGGTAACCTTGGCTTCCGAAACCACTTGCGCCACTGCCATAACCCTCACCACCATATCCGCCACCGCCGGTGTATCCTCCCCCCATTCCTCCTATTCCAAGACCACCTACCCCCATCCCTCCCATTCCAAGACCACCTAGACCCATTCCTCCCATACCAAGACCACCTAGACCCATTCCTTCCATGCCGACACCACCTAGGCCCATTCCTCCCATTCCAAGACCACCTAGGCCTAATCCAGACCCTAAGCCTAACCCACCCATTCTTCTTAGACCAAGACCTCCAAATGGCTGGGCGTTTAATACTGCAGCGCAGGATAGGACAACGAGAATCTGTGAACAATTATTAGTTATATTTAATAAGAATTATTAAATTTATTATAAAAAATGTAAAACAATCTTTAAATTATATGCTAATAAAATATGGACTATCCGGTCAATCTCAGTATATAAGGTGCTTAATGTAAGACAGGATTATAAAGTCAAAATAAAAATGATAAACTGATTTTAGATACTTTAGTCTAATCGGCTTTTGTCAAGCTTTACTTAAAATATTAAACTAGATTATTAGCTATCACTTCAAAATAAATAAATAAAGTTAAATAAAATTTTGTGTGTAACACGCTGACAGTTGGAAAATCGACGGGTTATGTAATAAATTTGCGTTTAAATAATTTAAAGAACTTTTAAATAAATCTTATACTCACAATGCACTTCATTTTGCGGTTGATGGCTGTTTCGAATGATAATTTAACTTCGAACACAATATTTATGTACAAAATATCCAATTAATAAGCACGCTAATTGGTTTCTTGAATGATAATTAACAATCGAATTAGGGAATCCGTGGGAGACCATCAGAGGAGAGAAAACCCTGTGGACATAATTAATAATGAGTAACCGTCCTCCAAAAAGGTTTTCAAATTGTTGGTATATTTTAAGATGCTCAGGGGACCTGGACCTGATGATTTAGAAAAACTTGGTTGCCTTGAAAACTTTTGAAATGTTTGTTGTAAACGGTTAGACAAGACTGCATCGGTAAAATTGGGTTTTGTATAAACTTTTTATTATGTCCAAAACTGAATGCCCATAACTAGCTGTAAACTCCAAGTGATTTCATGACCTAAGGATCCAAAAGGATTCTTCGATATGTGGTTTTAAAAATGTACAATGTGATAGTTGAATTGTTAGGTATGATTAAATTACTCTTTGATTATTTACCTCTATTGACTGCATATATTTTTACGTTGTAGTATAAATATATAGATATAGAGAAACTGTGTCCTGTTATATTGAATATTATGCAAATTTTTGCAGGCATTGTTAACCAAATTGTTTGTAGAGTAGTCTGACTATACTTTTTGGTTATTTTAGCTCAAAATTATATTTTATTAATAAATAACATACTATGTCACCTATGCCAGCCACTTAAGTTTTATAGACAAAAAGGTTTCAAAATAGCAGCCATGAAACTTTTTGACTATTATTACATTCATACAAAAATAATGACATTGCTCATTAACTTATTTAAACTTACTAATACATTAAAAAAAACTTAATATTAGACACTGTTTAAAGAGAAAATTATTTTTTTATTTACACATGTATCTATCATACTATATTTTAAACATTTCTACTTATAAAAAATAAATAAGCACCAAAATGTACTAAATATAACTGTAAGATTTTTTGTTATAGAACAGAGGGGCAGGAGGCTCACCTGATGTTAACTGATACCGCCGCCTATGAACACACTCAATGCCAGAGGCTTCGCGAGTGCGTTGCCGGCCTTTTAAGAATTGGTATGCTCTTTTTTTTAAAGTGAAACTAATAATATATACACTAAGTTAATAATATTTAAAATCAATAATTTTTTCAATATGACAGAAACTATTATTTTCCAGCCCTACCAAAACCTCCTGGATCTCGCCGGTATCGCGATTCGCGAAGTAACCTGACGTTGACTTTTACGCGTTGATTAGTTGTTCGTACAAAATAACCGTTTGTCCAAATGCGAGGTTGTTTCGTCATCTGCCGGACTTTTGCAATGCTATTTAAATTTTTACGTTTAAAGAGCTTTATTCTCATTACAAAACATGTATTTTTTTACATGAGAAACTTTATATATACAAACGAGACACACTTCGCCATCAGCCGTCTTAATTTTAGTTTACTAGGCTCATTCTGATATGCATCTGTAATGCCTTATTGAATTTAGACGGTTATGATTAAATAATTGCACACCCTCATACTTATTAGACTCTTCAAATTATTTGTACGCTATTTAACAATCAAATACCTACCTAGCCCCGATAAAAATATTATCTTCCATACATTTTGGTCTCCCTACATAAAATATTCAATTGAAAAAATACCCGTCTACGCGGGTAACGGACGTAGCTTTTATCTCGCAATCTTAGCTTATGGCTTCAACTTAATCTTGATTTTTATACGTCAAGCCTGATTTGAAGTGCCGGGATGAGATGTATTTGTTTTAGGGTCGTTGTCTCTGTTGGGCGCCTGAGGGATTCGTTTAATGGTGGGACCAGGGTTGATATTATTCCATCCTACAGTGTCCTTATTTGGTTATTTTTGCTTCAGAAGAAGGATGATTTTCTTTTATTTTTCTTCTGCTTTTGCAAGACTCACAGCTGATTGCTGAGTCTATCCATCGCAGAAGAACACTTGCACTTAACACCAGACAGGAATGTTTTTTTTTTAAAAAGGTTCTTAAAGGATGTTGATAACGTCTTTTTTGATGGTCATTTGTCGGAATAACTTTGACTAACAACTGTTGCAGAACTTTATATTAATCACTAGCTGACCGGGCAAACGTCGTTTTGCCATGTATATTTTGCATTTATAATAAAAAAATAGGGGTTGATCGTAGAGAGGATCGTGAAAGTTAGGGGTTGTATGTATTTTTTAATGCTGTATCATAAAAAAATAAAAACAGAAAAATATATCTAAAAATAAACAAAAATATTTAGGGGTATAACCCCTTAACATTTAGGGGGATGAAAAATAGATGTTGTCCGATTCTCAGACATATCCAATATGCACACAAAATTTCATGAGAATCGGTCGAGCCGTTTCGGAGGAGTTTAACCACAAATACCGCGACACGAGAATTTTATATATTAGATTTTTTATATTTTTTATATATTAGATAATCTACGTACTAGAATTATAGGTAAACTTAAAATAAAATCTACTAAAATGCCATCTAGGTTCAAATCAATATCGTTCTAAGTTGTTTTATTAATTTTCTTGTAGTTTTAGACTAACTTGATAGTATAATGAAAACGTTCACTTTATTGATGATAGTTAAAAAATAAAATACAATTTTTCAGTAAACCTCATATCATATATAAAAATCTGGATTCAATTGATCGGACAGTCGATAAAATCTTGACGACTGTGGCCTGATTTCGTATCGAAACTTTCTCGGACAATTTTGCTTTTAAAGGGAATATTTCAAAGTGAAAATATCAATAAGAAGAATTTTAAGATGTTATCAAATATGGGCTAAAAGTAGCTTTTGTCTGTTTAATGTTTTTTATTGCCGAACTGAAAATAATCGAAATCGATGAGAAATTCTCTACGATACACCGAAGAACAATTAAATATGTATGCGGGTACCACTAAAAAAGCGTGTGTGTACATGTTATACTTCTTTGGCGTAACAAGATAAAAATCTTTTTAAAAATTTTATCTTTCACCTTATTCTTCGTTTGTAGAAAAAACGACACTAACAATACAAATACGTATTTAAATACATTGAAAGTTTTATTATAACGCATTATCTAGTTAAATAAAGTTTATTTCAATATCTCAGAAAAAATATTTCTACATAATTAAAGAAATGAAATTTTTTATTTTAAAATGATTAAAAAATGTATGCTAACTTCAGGTTGTCGAGTTTTGTGACGATGTGCATCGTAAAAATTTACTCTCATAATTTTTCCCTAACGCGCCAAAAGTAGTATAACTTCAAAAATAACAATGTAACAGCACAATTGCAATTATATCGAGAGTTTATTTTATCTATGCGATATGGTTACAATAAAATACTCAGTCATTAACTAGCCTGATTAGTTTCATTTATAAACTCAAAAATAACTTTTGACATAACTTGCATGAATTCGGTATAAAAAGAAGTCTGCGACGTGTTTGATTGAGTGTGCTCTTGAGAAGTCTTGAATAACACGTCCTATGAACCCGGTCTCAGGGGAAATCTCAGTTAACCCCTGTAAAAAGAAAAGATATCGCTTGATAGTGGAGCTTCTTGGGCCACTCAGGAAGGCCAGGACCGCATTTTGGACCTATAGAACTTATATTATAGTACAGCTTAATGAACATAGTTATCGAACTTGAATTCGTGTATGCGGTGATGTTTCCACGAGAATGTAAGTGTTCCTATTTCACCATGCCTACTGCTCATAGGGGACAAATCTTTGATTATATTTTTTTATTATTATTAATTACTTAAGATGTCATGTGGAACATGGTTGCAGCTTACAAAAATTGTGTAAAACAAAAAACTTGGCGATTAAAAAGAGTGTCGGAGAGTTTATTGCCAGTTCTGATCGTCCGTTCTACGCCCTTGATTTGAGAACTGGCAGTAAATGTAAAATTAGAAGCATTTAGCATTTAATATGTATTTCTTTATTGACGTTCATAAGTGTACATTGTGTTACCTAAATTTGAATTTTTGAATTTGAATTCTCTGTGCTTGTCACAACCACTTTACAGAACCTAGTTTTTCATCAACTTCTTAACTTCTTCTTTTTCGGCCCCAGCCGGGATTTAAGCCCTCTATATCTTCAGTTAACATGCCTGACTGAAGCCAGATAAATGTCGTGTGTATGTTATTAAATTTGTTTAATCTGAGTTCATATAGATGAAATATATTTTAATATTTTAGGCTAATCTTGAAACAATTTCAATAATAAATCTTTTCTAAATCCTTTGAATAGATTCAAGGGTTCTTTGTACGATATAAGACGGTCCTGGAGCGAGTCGTAAATGCAAAATAACAAATTGTTTTTATGCTCACATCTCTCAATTTACAACTTGTGCTTCGGGGTTGTCAACGAGATTGAAGTCTCTGACATTACACTGAGATGTTATATCGTTGGTAGATATATTTTTTAAAAATTAATATAGCCATAGATAAATAAAGTTGGTGGTATTTTGATAAATGTATATATATGGTTATGATTATGATGATATGATATTCTCAAACTCAAAATAACTTTATACATATAGGTAACCAAGTACACTTATGACCGTTAACAGAAAAGATGTTAAATTGATTCTAAATTTACATTTACTACCAGTTCGCATGTAAAGGGCATAGAACGGGCAAAAATAACTGGCAAGAAACTCTCCGCAACTCTTTTTAATTCGCCAAGAGTCATACAAATTGTTTGAACTAGAGTAAATCAATCCCAATGATCATTTAAATGATCGTCAAATTTATAAAATTTGTTTAAAGTTTAATATCAGTTTTATTTTTCTTTTTGTCTATTAATATACTTATTAAGTTACCTGTTTCGTATATTTTGTTTATCGATGTAATCTGTTTTGGCTTTGTGTATTATCTACGTGTTTTCTTCTGTAATATGGATATGTGATAGCTGTAAGATTACCAAAAAAAAAAAAAAAACAACTAAAAACATGTATGTTACATACATGCACGCCAAGTAACCGAAAAAATTGTGTAAATTTCTGGTTTAAAGCATTAATCAAACGTTCTCCAAATTTTATAATGTAGATAATAATAATAAAACCCGTTTAATTTCCAATCTTTATAAAAGTAGAATATACAGCTTCGATTTACCTACTGTATAAATTTTTTATTTAATAGGTAGAACCTCGTTAAGTCGAACCTCGATAAGTCAAAAACCTCCAAATCTCGAAAAAATGTTTTGTTCCCTTCCCTTAAAACACCAAAACCTCCATTACTTGAAATCTTGACCCTCTGTTAATCGAAATAATCACCGAGTCCCTCCAAGCCATTTTGGTACATATTTTCACTCTATAACTCGAAAAATTAAATTTGACCTCTGTATCTCGAACATAGGAACGTTTTATTTTACAACCTTTACAACTTGATCATTTGGAATTTATTATATCTATTGATCGAACAAAAATAAGTTACCGACTTTAAGAACTTGCCGCCAATGTGAGTACACTATTGTTTCTTAGAAAACATTTTAGGAGTATATTACAATAATAAATTTATGACTCATGGAAACACGTGTTTGCTTGCTTTGTGTCAGGTGTTCAATTTATAAGAATAAACCTCAAACTCTTTATGTCGAATCAAAATCCGCCTAAGTCGAAATCCTCCATAAGTTGAAAACTCTATAACTCGAATTTTTTGGCGTCTCCCTTGATGTTCGACTTATAGAGGTTCTACTGTATTATATTTATTTTACAAAATGCACGAATATATACAATATTTAATTTTAACTTGTTTCCCTTTTAACACTTCAAACGGCACTTTAGCCTTATTATAATGAGTTCAAGGCACCTATCTTACTTTCAAGCACAAATCACTTAGACCCAACTCGGTCCAAAGTCTATTCAACTAGGATATAATTTAATATTAACAAAACAAATCAAATCAAATAAAATAATAAATCTTAAAAGTAATACAAACAAAATCTCAATTAGCAAAAGTAAGAATAAAATACAACGGTCAATTGACTCGATCAGAACATTCCTGATAATCGGGAGTATTCCCCGACTTATACGTTATTCAAATAAAATATAAAAGCACCAAAACCCTGTTTTTGTGTCATGTGTCAGACATAGAGTGAAAGCAATTTGTGGTTTATAAATGTTAGATAATGTGTCATGGTTCTTTTGACACATCCATTACGCCTTGACAAACGCGACAAGAGTAAATTATTGTGATAGTTATTTATATAAGCATCATTTAATGTTCTAGGCTATACAGATATAAACAAAAGTATATTTAATAATAGTACATTTGCGTAACAACTTTAAATGAATCTTGGCTTCAGAATGTATGTACGACAAGTTTAGGCCCGGCACGTCCCAAATTTTTGCATATAAAACAAGCCGATTTGCTTCATATATCACCTTTACCGAACATCTATTTATGAAAATCAGGGGTTTGAACGCAGGGCAGAGCTTTCCACTAGACCTAGAACAACCATCAGATTAAAAACCATTATAATGAGTTGGGTTTTCCTAATAACTATTGTTACCATATTAATTATTGATGGATGAAGTCACCCACTTACGGAAATAATTGATTGGGTAATTAATTCTAAAGATATGATTAAGTAAAAATATAATTACTGTGAGAAATAACTCTCATTTATTTTGAACTAACGTACACTTATTAATTAGTTCGATCAAACACGTTCAGGTATTTCCCAAGGGAATTCTATAAAATAGATTGCTATAATTTGTTGTTCTTGAAAATGTTTTACTAAATATATCCCTTTGTCTAAATAACTCTTAATTTTTTGTAGAATTTTGATGTACGGTATTATTAGCGTGGTTTTTATATTATGACTGAGAGTTGGTATTTTTTTAATAATTGAAAATTAGTTGTAATCTTACGTGTAGCATATAAGATACATGTGTTTTTTTTATATAACACGGGGCAAACGAGCAGGAGGTTCACCTGATGTTAAGTAATACTGTTCAGAAATACAGCAGTGGGCAGCTGGTTCCACATAGTGGTGGTGCGCAGCAAAAACTGCCTTAAGAAATGCTCAGTTGTGGAACGACAGACGTTGAGGTGATATGGATGGTATTTCGTATTCTGCCTTGATGTCCGATGATGATCAGCTGCAGGTATTAATCTCAACAACTCCTCTGAATACTCTCCATGTTAAATGCGGTAGAAGATTATATATTTGATGTTTTAGTTGCCAAAAAATGTTTTATATTCATATAAAATAATTAATAGCGATAAATAATTAACTATTATATTTTGAGGTAAAGTACTCTTATTAGTGGCAGAACTACCAAGAAAGCGTAAGTTCTAAAGTCTCCATTGTTGTCAGTACCAGTTCTTCTTCTTTCTCTTTTGGTGCCTCACCATTACTAAACTGACCTTCAGTCTCGTGAAGCGTGTCTTGTGCCAGATGTAGTAACTCTTCTGTAGTCGCAATACCCGTCCACGTTACGAAGTCATGATTTCTTTCTTCTTCCAACGCGCCCATTACTACCCTGGATTTTACCCATTATTATTAATTAAAATAAAGAACAATTGGACATATGTAATAAAGGAGAACTCAAATCGGAGTTTTATGTTCAAGTGACAACAAAACTTTCTTCATTTTGATGAAAGATTTCTAGGATTCCATTCGTTTGTAACCCAACTTCCCAAATACTTGTATTGCCGAACTTGTTCCAACGTCTTTCACTCCGTCGGCTACAGAAGATTAAGTCTTAAAGTGTCGTTTTGAGAAATGTCTCGCCATCCCATTACCATCACCTTTGTATTTACTGCATTAATAATCAGACCATTTCTTTCGCAAGTTTCATGAATTTTATTAACAGGCATTTGGAGATCCTCCATTGATGTGGTTATTAAACTCCGTTAAATTTTAATCCAACCTCTGACCCCTCAATGGCTTTTCATATAGTTGCTTCGGAATATATACTGAATAGCAACAGAGACAATATACAACCTTGACGAACACCATGGGTTCATTAAACTAAATACTGATGTCATTGGTATCCTAGTAATGCAGTTTCATGGTTGCTTTTCGGTCTTCGTGCAGGTTCCTGATTACTCTTAGATCCTTCTCATCGAGACTACTGTTAATTCAACGATTTATGACAACGTTACGCTTAACCTTGTCAAAGGTTTCAGTACAAGTACAGTAATTTAATTAACACCTTATAAGGAAGTAACTAAAGTTCAAGAATCTTGACTAAAAAGAAGCAATTTTGTTGTAGCTGTTCTGCCTATCCCGGTTTTGTATCTGTACACTGAATGTGTGGCCCACCCCTAACCTTTAATTACTCTGACATTCTGGAATTTAAAAAAAACTCCAATATAATCATATAATATCATTCCTTTAATACAAAAAAATACAATTATTCCATATTCTTAATTATTCGCCATCTACCAGGCCTAATACTTAATAATAGGCATACTCAAAATCTAATTTCACATCCGACAGTCGTTAAGTAATCGGACAGTTTCTTTGCACCGTTCTTTAGGTATATAATTATTAATATACCATGAAGCATTATATTGACAACTCTGAGTACGACTGTAAAACTTTGACATCCCCTTATTTAGAGATTAATCAAATAAACTTTTTCTCTCAACATTTTGTCACATTTCACGAAGCATTTTGGAGCACAAAGTAATATGGTGGTTGGAGCTTGTTAACCCCGCCGGTCACCAACTTGGGTTTAGGACCGTGCCATTCTAGTCTGTACTTATCCAACATTCTTGTTGCGAGTGGTATCAGCATGGGACTGATGATACCAGTGGCCGGGCATGACTGGCCAGATGGTAGGGAAGCGAAGGAATGGGCTCTCGAAGCTTGAATTGGCGTCCACCCTTGACTGATCCACCGATCCGGAATGAAGGATTTCGCCCTGCCCCATTCTTCTTCTGTTTTACTTGAAACTCCGTGTGCCAATACGATGTCCACCTTAAAATAGAAAAAATTTAGTCGTTAAAGTTTATAATAATTAATTCCTACACGAGGTTTTCAAAAGCAAAGAGGATTAAAAATATTTCATTGCTAGAGTTATTATATTATATATATGATGTCACAGGTAGTAAAAGAGCAGATAATGATTGGAAAATAGTAGCGAAGATGAGAGACAAATGGAAGAATTAAGAGAAGGCCTTCACTCCGTTGGAGTACTATTAAATATAATAATAACATTAAACTCAAACTCAAAATAACTTTATACATATAGGTAAACAAGTACACTTATGAACGTCAACAGAAAAGATGATAAATTGATTCTAAATTTACATTTACTACCAGTTCGCAAATCAAGGGCGTAGAGCGGGCATAAACTTAATGTAAACTATATTATAGAACTCGAATATAGTTTTTTTAATTAAATGTGATGTCACGTAACCCCTCTATCAGTCTAAGTGTAATTGTGTAATCAATTTAAGACAGCCTACCAACCTGACCTATTTGCCAAATTGCAATTAGATTACTAGGCATGCAAAACTGCGTTTGTTTCTTTCGTTATGATCTCAGTTACCAGTACCATCTATACATACCACTGTGGCAATAACATCTTAAACATCTTCTTTGATACAATCACCTACAAGCTAAACTACGCCAGAACTTACCCCAGCAGGTATCTCATATCCGTCAATGACCAATTCTTCTTTACTTCTTCTCACAACTCCCCCTGTAACAGGCTTAAGCCGCATCGCCTCTCTGACACAAGCAGTTATGTAGGGCAGGTCACCGGTCTCTATGCCCGCGTCCTTTGAAGCCTTCGACCAAACGACTTCATCGTGGGCTCTCTGTTGTTGTGCTGGGTGGAGTGAGAGCTGATAGAACATGCTTAGTGCTGTTTGGGCAAGCTGTAAAGATATATAGTTAAATTGTATAATATTCAGATTTTCTTACAGAACTGGTTTATTATAACAAGTATATATATATACAATTTGTTGTTCGTGGAGCAGTATGGGTTGAAAGAGGACGTAATGAGAAGGAAAACAAAGGGAATGCTTAGGTGGTTGCGACATGTAGAACGGATGAATGAGAAGCGGTTAACTAGTAGGATATATACAAGGCAGCCGTGGATTGTGGAAAATCCAGCAGGTACTAGAGAAGGGACAAGGTAGAAGTGCTTATGCATGGTGATGTCACGAAAGTTGATGAAGTGGGAGAGGCATGTCAGGACCGTAGCAAGTGGAGATCCGTAGTATGTCTTCGGGAAACAGGCGTGATGATATAAATATATAAATAAATACATTATCTGCTACACAAAACCTATAAAATGCTTTGCTAAAAATAGTAAGCAAACCTAATTATTGCCGGGAATAGTTCAATTAAAATATAAATTTGCCTTCCTGTATTGGTCTCTTCAAATTTACCAATCGTTTACTCAATGACCATAATTTAATTAGTATAATGGAGTAAACATTCGTATTGGCAATTCACCACCCCTAACCAGCCCCGTTGCTCAATCAAGCAGTTGAATTATTCAATGTTTCAAACTCAGGTACTGGGTTCACTAGCGAAATATGTAAATTTATCTTATCACCAGCTGCTTGTCTAACTTAATTTTTAGCTGTATTGCGATACTTATTCGTTGAGCGAGGAAAGTACCAGCTCTGAGGTCACCGGTACTATCTATCAGGCGCCAACATAAATCTTTAATCTATGTAACTCCACAGCCCAAGAGTCTCTACTCCAAAGGGAACAAAATCGCAGTTGGAGGAAAGACTATTTGAGCCGTTTATTTTCCGCCTGCTCTGCGGCCGCCACAGCTTTTTTGCTTGTCCGAGGGAGGTGAGACAGAGCAAACGTGTCCACACAAGTAGCATCCCAAAGTATATTATACTAATAATAAAAATGCATAATACTAACTGGATCAACTCCAGCGAGTAATACGTCAGCGGCTATGGGCAGCATTTTTTCTCCAAGGGGTTTTAGTTTGTCAAAGAGTATTTGCTCTGGTTTTATATCGCCGTTGTAGAGACGCGCTTGCGCTTCCGTTAGAAACTGTTGTGTCAAGCTATAAAAGAAATACAAAATAATTAATACCGATTTCACAGTTGTCAATAATATCCAACGTTTATTAACTGATGATATCATGTAGTTGTGGAGTACTAAAAGAATGGTCTAAACAGATTCAACTTAAAATAGTTAATGACTGATTTAAGCAAGGCCCAAATAGCTCGGACCAACCTCTCTAAGGGCCTACAGAGGTCTCTAGAGGAAGAATGCATATAACCTAGACATGTATTTTTTATTATTATTCAATAAACTTATTGCCAGTTTTTATTGCCCGTTCTTCTTGTCCGTTCTACGCTATTGATTTGAAAACTGGCAGTAAGTGTACAATTAGAAGCATTTAGCATTTAATTTAATGTATTTCTTTATTGACGTTCATGTACACTACATTGTGTTACCTACATGAATAAATGATTTCGAATTTTCAATACCTATTGAGATTTTTTTAAACATTATAAATAAAATATAAACATTATAAATAAAATAAAAGTACAGAAAACCCCAAAATTCCCTAAGAGGTTCAACCGTGGTGCCTGAAGGGCTTTTTATAAACTAAAAAGTTAAAATAAATACAATCAATACAAAAAACGAAACGAACATATTACGAAAGATAAAAAAAATATACTTTTAAAATAAATTAAATTTATGGAGCCAATCAAATCCTAGGGTGGCCAAAAATTATGTAAAAATAAGGGTTCCTTGCCCACGCATAGCTGTTTAACATTTCGTTTAATAAGCAATAAGATTAGATATAATAAATACCTGAAATGACGATCAAAAGTCAAGACAGCATTCTTGAATCGCTCAGAATCTGGTTTAAGCGTACTTTCACTTCTCACTAAGTAATTTTCGTCGGCTATTTCCAAGGAACACCTCACCAGCTGTTCAGCTGGAGTCAAGTCATCCAGGTTTCGTTGGGATAAGGAACATAGATCCTTGATGTCGTCATCCATTGAAGTCATCTCTGGGCGCCTAGAAATTAATGGGATTTTATGTAAAATGTGTTTGATATTGTTTTGTTTTATAGCGCAAAAGTAATAACGAAAGATATTTGTATAAATATGGTAATAAAATGTTTTAGAAATATGATATAAACTTGATTGAGGTTGTATAAACTTCTACTATTTCGTTAAAAATACATAATTTAAAAAATATGTAGTTGTTCTCGTGGCAGAATTAAGTCCCACCACCACTAACCTTCAGCGTCAGTTATTTTGGCCCATGGGCCTATCGAGCACGGATCTTAAACATACGTATTGAATAATGCCACGATTTTATACGGATAGTTAATTTACATATAATATATTTTTATCAAGTACAAAAATAAATTTCTCCTACGTGGAATATATCTAATACATATTCCGTAATAATACTATATTTTATTATTTCACATAAACATAATTCATAATAATTACGAGGATATAAGAAATATTCAAGGCAACTCTATGTAAAAACTATACATTTATAATTAGCCTTTATGATAGCTTTTTGTGTCTCAACCAGTTATAACATTCTAATCCTAAAGGTTACCTGTACTGACTAAAAGAACTAGTAATAATTACCCCTTGATAATTATACCCCGATTATGCATGTGCCTTAATTCGTAGTAGTTTTTTCGATAAATAAATGCAATTAAAAATTACTACTTTAAATAGATATTTAAATAGAAATTACGCATCCTTCAAATGAGTGGTATCTTAAAACTGAACTGTTTCTTAAATTGGAAAATAGCTGATTTTTTGGGAAACTTTTGGATATTGTAACTTACAAAATTTTCCACACGTGCTCGGAAGCCTAAATAAATCATTATAATTGAATATTATCTAATTCTAACAATATCCAGGTCAAACTGAAAACTCCGGTTAAAAGCAAAAGAGGAGCAGAAAAGAAACAGAGGTATGCAATTCAAAAGGTGGGCCGATGAAATCATGAAAATGGCTGGAAAGACTTGGACGAGATTGGTATACAATAAGGAAAAATGCAGGACAATGGGGCGAGGATTTTGCCCGTAGGCACACGGAATCGGATATCGTAGACTACTAAAAAAAACTATATTGTATAAATGTTCGTATATAAAAAAAAACTGACTATCGCGCTATCTTTAAAAAAATAAGTCGTTGAAATTACAATTCGTATTTTAGATAAAGAACAGCCTAAAAGTTAGCTTTACATATTCAATGTATCTTGTAAATAAAACTCTGAATAAGATTACTCAGATCTAGATTGTAAGCTTCAAAATCACCCATGTGTCGGTTACAAGACCGTTCAACTAGACTCAGAGATTTTGATAAATGCCGTCGGTAATACGTAGGGAAAACTCTATTTTTCACCTTTCAGGCAATTTCTCTAACAACACAAAAAAGGCTTTGGATTTCAACCAAATCAGGAACGAGTAACACTATCATTTTTCTCGCGAAAATATAATTCGCGCCTTTGACCCATTAATCGAATTAAAAATTATAAAAAGTATATATGTACATATTATACTTATTCGTTGAGTGAGGAAAGCACCAGCTCTGGGGTCGCCGGTACTATCTACCAGGTGCCAATTTAAATCTTTAATTAGCATCTGTGCACTTCACAGAGAACAAAATCAAAGTTGGAGGAAAGACTTTGAGCCGATTATTTCCCGCCTGTTCTGTCCACGCCAGCTTTTGTGCTTGTCCGAGGGAGGTGAGAAGGAGCTACACCAATGTCAGTCCCATGTATATATACATTACTTTTTATAGTTCGATTGTGATCAGTCTCATGTGTTTGTCACCCAATTTTTCTAAAAACCTCTCAATGTTTTTCATCCCTAAAAGAGTGTTTGCGAATATAAAAACATTCGTGCATGCCCGGCAGATCTAGCAGTTTGACAAAGTATTGTATCATACTAGAGTATTGCAAAGTTTCACACAAATTCAATGCAGATGTTTAGTACGTTACCGCTTGATTAAAGCCACTTAATTAAAGTTAGCTTAACAGTTCTCTACTCTCTCTATCTTCTTCTCTCTTTATTTGGTTTTTGAGCACTGAAGTTGTTGAAACTTACCTATTATCTGAAGGAATGTGTACAGGCCCTTGTAAGCAACCCAGGCGTACGCCAAACATCATTACTCCTATAGTCTCAAGCGCCCATCGATAAAGTTCCGTATTTATTTCTTCATTAAGTGCGTTTTCAGCGTGACGTAACTCGCTAACCCTGTGGTAAAAAATGGAATATTTAAACTGAAATCTTTTGGGAGTCTAATTTAAGCGATTGCTGTTTAAATATTTATGATTTCATAAATTAATGTTAAATACGCTAAAGGTTATTTTCTTTTTAATATTTGCTTAATATAATACATGATCAATGCAATAGTATATTCATTTATTTCCACCACACAAATATACAGTATTTATAATATTCTTAACCTACATAATAATAATTAACAATTAATAAATAATAAATTAAATCAAATTTAAAAAGTTTGGTCCCTGTGGCAGTGTACCTTTAATGTTGGCTGCATTTCCTCGCTTTATTGCGATACTTATTCGTCGAGGAAAGCACCAGCTCTGGGATCACCGGTACTATCTACCAGGCGCTAAAAATCTTTAATTAGCGCCTATACACTTGAACCCCACAGTCCAAGAGTCTACTCCAAAGGAAACAAAACCTATCTACCTATACATTGTTTCGCCAAGTATATCACATTTCGTTGGTGCTTAATTTTAGTTTGAAATACACAGGGCGCTGCCCATATTTTCCATAGAAACAAAAAAAAAACTTTTCACTGCGGAGGCAGGAATAAGTCTCATAAAAAAACGATAAATATTAGTATGGGAGACTTAGGTGTATTTAAACGCAATTTCTCTTAAAACCTCACAATGTTTTTCATTCCTAAAAGAATGTTTGCGCACATAGAAACATCCGTGTATGCTCGGTAAATAGTTCATTTTATACTTATTGAGTAAATGAACAGAATTTTAAACCGACTGGAAAACATTCCAAACTTAAATTAACCGTATTTCTAAAAGAAATTAAGACTAAACGTGGGTCTGACCTTCGCAAGAAATCTTCGGCAATTGCGTCGAAGGCCTTTTCGTAACTTTTTTGTAGTGTTCCATCTTGTAGTATAATTTGCAGCGCCGACCAAATCGCTTTTACTTCGTCTCTGGAAACATTTTATCGTTTTGTATTACAAGTCTTGGGTAGAAGCTGATGTTTATTGCTTTGAATGGAACAAGACAGTCTTTTTCTTATTGTTACAATTACAAATATTTGTAATTATAGTTTATGAAATAAATCAACCTTAAAGGTCTGGGCCCCAGATTTCTGTATGTGTTTCATGATCATTTGTCAATCTAAAAGGCAAGTAGGTGATCAGCCTCCTGTACCTGTCACACTCCTTCGACTTTTCGGTCTAAGGCAAGCTAGTTTCCTCCATCCTTTGAGCGAATGCTAAATGCGCACATAAAAAGAAAGTCTATTGAGGCACATCCGGGGATCGAACCTACGACCTCAGGGATGAGTGCCGTACGCTGAAGCCACTAGGCCAACACTGCTGCTCTAATCTGTATAGTTAAGTAAATCATTAACAAAATCAAAAACTCATCTACAAAATTGGATGCGTGTAGGACCGGAAAAGGTTGTGAAAACCTTACCGTATTTCGTTTTTTATCTATTGTTGGCTTATTCAAATCTACTAAAGGCTAATCGAACCGTAGCTCCGTGGAGTTAGTGATTAGATATTACTAATCATTTAAAACTAAAAGTCCGGTTGAAAGTATCTGAAAATTATAGTGAAATACAATATTCAAAAAATTTATTAGGAACGCGAACTGTCTAGATAGCAGTGTTTCCCAACTTGGGGCTCTCGCCCTACAGGAGACAATTTGATTGCTAAAGAGGGCTATTCTAAAATTAATTAAAATTATTTGTAATTTTAATTTTAATTTCAGTTTTTCAGCTTTTTGCAAATTTACTTACTGTGTTTCGTTAACAATTTCTTAGTGATTACTTCCTTCCTAAAATCCTATTATTTAAGATTTAAAAGGGCACGATTCATTTTTTAATAATAATAATAATAATAAGAGACAAGAATTTTAGAAAGGTTACAGAGTATAGAACTAGACTATCTAAAAAATACTAAGAATCATTAAGAAATTATGATGATTTTTCGTCCCAACTGATAGTAAAAGTATTTACATAAACTGATTAAATATAGAAATCGGTACATTTTTTCTTCGTACTTTTCAACTACTCTTACCACAGCTCGAATGAGATGAAAGGAAAAGGTTGCGAAGGACGAATCGAAGTTATAAAAAAAGGGTGCGTGTACTTATGTACGCGCGTAAGAAGTTATACTTCCTTGGCATTATTAAAAATAGGTTTTGATTGCATGCAAATAATTAATTACAATTAAATAATCAAAGACTGGAAAAGAAGTCATAATAGTCAATAAAATTCAGTTTACATTTGAAAAATTAAATAAATAAATATTTATTATTATTCTCCTACATTAAGTGTAACATAAATTCTATTATTATTCGAATGTAGTTTAATTATGTCCAATGCCGTAGCATCTTCCGTGGGCAACTTCATTCTGTTAAATTCGTGTCACGGTGCGCGCGCATCGTAAAATTTCACTCTCATCAATTTTTCATAACGCGCCTAAAGAAGTATAACTTCAAAAATAATTGTACAATTGAGGTAAGTTTATTTCTACAGTCAAAATTATTTTTAATTTAATAATTCCATTGGAGATTACCTATTCATTGGACATTCTTCTCTCCTATATCTTTGTACTTCTAGAGGCGATCCGAACCAAACCGGTGGCTCGGTAGCTGTGCTGTTGTATACCTGTTAACAAATATTGTTATGTAATTGTGTCTTAATATGAATATTTCTTAATACATAATTTCTGTATTAATAAGTTCCAATGTGTTTAAACATAAGCAGCATAACATTATCTCAACTCAAACTCAAAGCTTTTAATTTATATTTTTCTTATTCTAAGCAGGTTCACCTAATGTTAATTGATACCGATAGACTCACACTGACAGAAGGTTCGCAGATGTGTTGCCGGCCTTTTATGTTGTATATAAATTACAACCAAGACGCTGCCACAAGAAGTGAAGTTCAATACCTACTATCTACAGTATTGACATTCAAAATTTAATTTGCAATACTGCCTGCTAAAATTTTAATATGAAAATATTTTTGATCTAATCGTAATCTAGTTAGGATTTTGACTTATATATTATAGTCTTAAGGTACTTGTATAGGTTCTCCCTACCTTACAAATAATTACGTAAATAATTATTATGTATATTATTTACCACATACAGTATAACATACGAACATATATTTTATACAGTGTCACGCAGACATTGAAGTATGTTTTATGTTTTGTTTTATCGGCTTGTAGTCTAGTAGTATAGATAGCGTAGTTCATTTGATATTTAAACTTAGTAGGGTCTAGTTGAAATTTAAGTTGAAAGTTCTATCAGGTTCACGCTGGATTCAAATGTAAAATTTTATGAAAAATGTCTTTAAAACCAATAATTGTGATTTCTGTTAACTCGCAATCCCACTGGACTTAATTACTTGAATCTCTACTACAAAAATTGGAACTCCCGGAACTAGAGCATTATGGAAACAATGAAGTATAAATCACTCATAACTACCCAATTAGGACGTGACTGGCCTCAGATAAATCGCTTTCATATACACCGAAATGTAATTTATATGATATATGTTTATATTGACTGTTAGTCACCAAAATATACTATCATGGGCTTCCATTTTGTATTATGTTAAGGCCCCAGCACGAATTGCTGTGTCAGTGTCTGCGGTGCGCAGTGGAGAGCTGGAGCACTGAGGCGCGCCGGCCCGTAATAACAATTAGTTATGTAAAATATTAAATTAATGTAATTTTATCAATTTTTTTTCTGAAATGGATTACTTGGCTTGCGATATTATATATCGTGTGAATTTCAAAATTATGTTCTATATACATTTTCGTCATAAAATGAATTCAAAGTGTCAAATTGGCTATGTTTGGATATTTTTTCTATCAAGCGAAGTTATTTAAATCGTGTATCGATCTTTCCAAATGGATACACAAACTACTCAACTCCACCATATATTTTTTCTATTCGCCCTACTTCAAGAAACGATAACGAAAAATGGAAAGAAGCAATGTACTTTTTTGGAGTTTGCCGACCAGATAGGTCCTTAATGAACATGACTTTGCTATACATACAATAAAGAACGCAGTGTTCCTCGTTATTGAAAGAATTATTTGCTTTACTAAAAGCCGTGTTTGTTGTTTATTATACGGGTAAATACTAAATGATTGATCTATGGGATTCTTTGAATAAATAATTTTTTTTAGATATCGTGTTTGACAATGCCTAATGCCTGCCAAATTGAAACACATTCGTTAATAAAAATATAAATATTTTTAAGTAAACGGGAATGGGCCACTGTGGAAGGAGAAATGGGGAGAAATTGGCTATGTCAAAAATTTATCTGGAATTGTATTGGAAAAACACCTTTTCTATGGCAATCAAGGTTTATAATAATTAATAATAATAATAATTAATAATAATAATAATAAAAACTTTATTAATGACAGAAGGGTTTGTGACAGAAATCATAAATCGCTAGTCCCCACACTAGGGAGGCCCTGTGTTGTGGGTAAAAAAATTTTACCAAAAACATTCAAAGATCTTCCTACTAGAGTTTTTAAAATCGACTTAATGTAAAAAAAATTATTTTATATTATTGATTATTTGCTTGAAACTGTATAATTAATATTAATTATTATAATTTTTTTTTGATAACGTAAAATATAGTTTATTAATGCGATGATGTAGTGACAAAATAATATAAGAATTGACTATAATGATATGACGCATAATGTAATTATAACTTCTATTCTGCCTTTTATCACAAATTTTCTCTCCATTATGTGTGGCAGAATATGCGAACTTTAGATTGTACCACCGTAAGATTTTTGTACCATATTCTTGTATTTTTATTCAATGAATATGAGACGCGTGAATAATACATGCTAATTATTTAGACGCTCTTGACGTCTTAACTTTCAAATTTACGAGGTCAAATTTATGTATGCGGTGATTATATAAAAATTCGTTCCGTCTGTAAAAATAGATAAAAATATTGGTTATCTCTTCTAACAGTTTTAAATATATAATTAATTATGTTGTTCGCCGACGAAGATGGATAATTTGATAGAAATTACAATTTTTTTAACTCTTTACAATTTGAATAATTTTACCAAGACTTAAACTATAGTCTACCCTGGTAGGGCTGCCTCATACGAAGATTTGATAATTTTGAAGTTAATATAAACATATTTAAGTAAAATTCAAAAATTCAAAAATCATTTAATCATATAGGTAACACATTGTACACTTATGACTTGTCAGTAAAGAAATACATATTAATGCTTCTAATTTTACATTTAGTGCCAGTTCTCAAATTAAGAGAAGAACTGGCAATAAACTCTCCGCCACTCTTTTTAATCGCCATGTTGTTTTTTTTTTTTAACACAACGTTTGTAGTAAAATTTAGCAACATGATACATGTAATATTTGTTAGCGGTGACCAATGTTGTTTAATGCAATATTTATCAGAAAATCAAACTATTGCGATTGTTTGAATACCAGTAACAAAGTGATAGTTTTATTTTATTTTGTGAGAAATCGTCCTCTTAATAAAATATTGCGAGCAGTTTTAAGGTATTATTGTAAGTGATATTTTTTTTTTTTATTTAGTTTTATATTTTTAATGGTAAAGAGACGTTGTGTGTAACGGCGTGACTGTGAAAAAGCAATGTTTGATAAACATTATTTGCCTCAGTATAAAATTAATAATAGTTATAACAAACGAACAATGACGAAAGCCTCCAGTGCCTGACACACGCCATCGACTTTTTGGGTCTAAGACATGTCGGTTTCCTCACGATGTTTTCCTTCACCGTTCGAGCAAATGTTAAAAGAGCACATAGAAAGAGTGTCCATTGGTGCACAGACGGGGATCGAACCTACGACCTCAGGTATGAGAGTCGCACACTGAAGCCACGAGGCCAACACTGCTCGTGTATTCAAGATACAATAAAATAATTTATCGAGTAGCAAATCGTAACTACCCATTTATTTTACAGAAACATTACCAGATGTTAATTAACTATGTTTAAGGAAGCAGGTCAGTTGACTTATAAGCTGAACAGTGTCAATGACTTGTGTCAACAATTGTACACTTGTGCCAAATTGTTGCTAATGGAAGTCACAGCTTTATCACAATTATTACGACGGCAATTTATATTAATAAACATATAAATTTTGTTTTTATTATTTATATTAACTCTTTGTACGCGATTTTAGTAAAACTTTCGCGAACATACACAATTATTACAATTCAAATCGTCAAAAAATGTGTTTATGGTGAGCCGTATCTATCCTATGTCTATAGCAAATTTATTTGTTACTCCTACATGCCATATCATCAGATTAAGCGGCGCAATTGGAAATGGATAGGCCATACCCTCCGAAGAGATTCCAATTATATCCCCAAGCAGGCGCTTGATTGGAACAAAGGAAAGCAAGCAAACCTGGCACCGTACAGTTGCAGATGAGGCAAAGAGAGCCGGAAAGACTTGGAGTGAGGTACGAGGCTCAACACCGAACGCGATGGAGACTCACTGTGGACGCCTTCTGCCTCTAGGGTTTTAAGGATATTAAATCAAGTCAAGACATTCCAAACACAGATCGTGTGTTACGTTGTACGAATAAATAATCCTTCCTAATGATTTTTATCTATGCATAAAAATCAAAGAATACGGTATATCAAAAATATATTATAAGATAATTTTTACGACTACTCATTACTAACAATACAAACATGACCTTTTCTTACGTCAATGATAAGGCTATCTTCTAATTGTTATCAATAAATCATTTCTACTATGTTATACGATTTATTTTAACAGTCTACTCAATACAAGCAACATTTTACAAATACGAAGTGAAACTTTTTACGACCCCAAAAATATGAGGTTATCAGCACGTTTGTGATATGATAATATTTGAGAATCTACTTACGTTTGCTTAATTTGTTATATCATGTGTTTTTGAGATACTGGTATCCTCGTATATCTGGAGGGAGTTTCTTTGTAGCGTTTTGTTCGTGGAAAGCTGGATATTGACCAACGTAACGTTACACAGCGATTATAAGTGCAGTCAGTACGTAGTCCGGGAGGTAGCGTTGCAAATGAGAAAGTCATAGTAAGCCGGCTGATATTAACATAGATAGTTGATCTTATATGACTAATAAGTGAACCGACCGTCAGCTGCTCAAGTAGCGGTGGGTGCGGGTGTAGGAGGCTGCGAAAGAGGTAAAAAAAATAAAAAAATTAAGTAATAGTACGCTGGCTGAAACTTGTTCCATGAATAGTTGATGACATACTGAGCAAAAAAAAAATCATCAGCTGCATCGTGGAGGGTGGATTATGCGTCAGCTGCCCGCATGCACTTGTGAAAAAAAACGTAAAATAAAGTTATAATACGCCGAATGAAATTTAACTCCGTGATTCTACAAAATATATAGAGTACGAAAACAACAATCAGCTGTTTAGGTAGCGGTGGAAAGACCGTCAGCTGACGCAGTCAAGATTTAAAATTTTGGAGCATTGCTGTCAGGCTGTTCGCTTTCAAACACATATTTTGCGATACATTCTGGCCTTGCTTGAACCCATAGCACGACCTTCGGGCTACCTAAACCTCTCCCCCTAAAATTTCAAAGCAGCATTCGGGGCCGCGCCGACCCCCCGAACACAACATACAACCCGCTTGCGTCGCACGCAACGCATCGGGTATCGGGTTATATTACGTTCATAATTAGAAGAACGGACAAATCCTTCTCGAGACAGCCTATCGATTTGACGTTAGAGCAAACCATAAATGCAGATGCTGCAAATAAATTGACCGGAATAATGCATACTACGAATTCAATTTCGGCTCGTCAACGTTGGTGCAAAAGCCACAGCATTCGCTCAACAATTATCAGCCATATTATGGAGCAAACAGGATTGAAAAAGTCTCAAGACATTACTGCTGACCTGGAGAAGAGTAGAATAAAAAGAAATTCGCTACAGCTCGAAAATGTTGTTTCTAACATCAAACAAAACATCAATCCCTTTTCAAATGATTTAGACAAAAGTTTGTTGTATAATATTTCAACAGGTCAAGCAATACAACCGAACATTGAACAATTTTTGCTGAATGTAGAGAATCTTGGAAATGAGTTGCGAGAACAATTTATAAAAGAATGTTCTGAAGATGCAGAAAGATTTGAAAAGGCGATAAAAAGGAACAAAATTTTGACCTTCGTGGATGCAGTGCCGAAGAAAAAATTAGCCATTTCTGGTAAATTAATAGAAGTTCGCATGCAACGCGACTTATTTGCACAGTTGCTTTTAATTTCTCTGGAGCAAACGTTAAACATTGATAAAGTTCTGTCGTATCCACTAACACCAGTTCCCTTAGCTATGTGCCATGCAGATGGGATAATTTGTAAAACGGATAAATCAGTTTTATTAAAAATACTCGAAAAAGAAACTGACAGCAACACACCACAAAGATGCGACGTACTTATTTATGATGGCTTTTTTATGCTCCATGCATTTCAAGACGTTCCATCTACATTTGGGAATATTTCAAAGAAACTAATACCAATGTTCACGAATAATCATGCGCGCATTATTATAGTTGCATTTGATCGTTATTTTTCGCCATCGATTAAAGATATCGAGCATTTGTTAAGAGGCAGGGTTAGAGGTCAACAGTACCGTATAAATGGGCCCGATCAAGTACGCCCAGCTAATTTTGCGAACGAATTGAAAAATATGTATTTCAAAGCAGCCCTAGTGGAATTTCTTTGTGACCACTGGGGAAATAATTATATGGCGAGCTACATAGGCAATAAGACAATTTATATCAACTACGAGTTTTGTTATAAATATGAAGTACAGAATAATGAAGTTCTACGAACCCTCGATCACAATTTATCTTGTCCGGCTCACGAAGAAGCTGATACGAAAATTGTATTTCACGTTTGTGCGTTAGATTTCGATGCTCACGTTACGATAAGATGCTCAGACACGGATATTTTCGTGATAATGCTCGGCAATATGAATGCGATTGCCAACGATATGAAAATAACTATGCACATTGGTTCCGGAAATTCCCAAAGATTCGTTAATATCACGAAGTTATATGAAAAATTGGGAACCGATTTGTGCTCTGCGTTGCCAGGTTTTCATGCCCTCACAGGCTGTGATTTTAATCCCGCATTTTATAGGAAAGGGAAAAAAAAGCCTTTACAATTGTTGCGAGAATCACAGGCGTATATGCAAGCGTTGGGGGATATCGCGAATATTCCGAGTCGTGAATTAGACGAGGTCTTCATAACGATTGAAGAATTTGTTTGCCGCTTGTACGGGTATAAATCGATAAACGATGTCAACGCTACACGCGTTGCTACCTTCGCGAAAAATTATCAAATTAATGAGAAAAACGACGTGCTCAAGTGGAAAAGCCGTATTGACGGGGCGATCTTCCCGCCATGTAAATCCGAGCTACGCCAGCATTTACTGCGCACGTCATACATAGCGCACCTTTGGAGCCATGCTCACCTTCAAGATCCATCTCAATTATCTCCCACGGACTGGGGATGGGAAGAAAACGACGACAAATATGTCTTCAAATGGTTCGAAGGAGATCAAGTACCCCTGTCAGTCACCAGTATAACGGATAGCAGCGAAAATATTGGCGGTATGGAATTTTTGTCGGTGACACTTTATTTGAGCTTTCTAGTAGCCTAATTTTGATAATTTACATGGTTATTTACAGATGACGGTGAAGAGAATCGAGGTCAAGAACTCGATCAAGACGAAGAGAACGATGTCCTGCAGGACAGTTCGGCCGATGATTCGTCAGACAACGATGATGATAGCGATACCAACGAATAACTTTTGTGATCTTTTTATTTCTATATTTCGATTTTGTATAGCGTGCATTTTGTTACAAATAAAACGAGACAAAAATATATCGAGAAAGATTCTGTGCATTTCTAGAATAACCTTTACCTTTACTGCGTCAGCTGACGGTCTTTCCACCGCTATACACGCAGCTGATTGTTATTTTCGTACTTTGAATTATTTAAACGATCACGTAGTCCAATTTCATCCGGCGTACAATGACTTTATTTCACGTGATTTTATTACAAGTTCATGCGAGCAGCTGACGCATAATCCCCCCTTCACGATGCAGCTGACGATTTTTTTTACTCAATATGACATCAACTATTTATGGAAAAAGTTTCAGGCGGCGTACTATTACTTAATTTTTTATTTTTTTTTACTTCTTTCGCAACCTCCCAATTCCAAACCCACCGCAGGTGCGCCAGCTGACCCTTGGTTCAGTTATAAGTATTTCGAGATAAATAGTGAAAGAAGGAAAATAGTCGGCGTAAAATCACTGCCTAAAATGCAACGCTACCTCCCGGACTATACGTAGTGTTACGGGGAAACCAGCGGTTTGAATGCTCCACCCGGTTGTCATTTTATTGGCGAATCCTTTGATTGGCGAATCCTTTGATTGTTTAGGGGTTCAGTCATTTCATTCATTTGGAGATTTAACAACGTACATCGGTATACTTTTTAAATTTAATGGTAGGCAGGACAATTTAATTATTTAATGGTGGACAGGAGACTCAACGCTGTTAAGTGATACTGGCCCATGGACATTCACCTTGCCAGAAGGTTTGTAAATGCGTTGCCGGCCTTTTAAGAAATGGTTCGCTCTTTTCTTGAAGGACCCTATGTCGAATTGGTTTGGAAATACTTCAGTGGGCAGCTGGTTCCACATAGTGGTGGGGGCGGCAAAAATTGCCTTAAGAAACACTCAGTTGTGGAACGATAGCTAGTCTAATGTTACAGATATAAGCTAGCTAATATCTCTAATGGAAACTCCGAAGAAAAGCAGTTAACTTTTATAACGAGATGACAATTTTATTATTCCAATAAAACATTTTTAAACAGATGACAATCCGCAAATGGATTGCAATTTGTCGCTGATATCTGAAACTGCTGAGAACCTGTTTATTTATCGTTAAAGCTTTGATGTTCGATTCATAAAATTGCAAACAAACATTGTTAAGCTTTGGAAACTTTTGTGTTATTTTCATTTGAAATTTTATATCAGCATTCCATGTATCTCACCTAACATAGACATAGACATAACATTTATTACAAATAAAAACACACACACATAAACACAGAAGAGAAAAAAAATGAGAGAATATCAAAAACAATTAAAAAACTTCCCTTTTCCCATTCGGTTCGTTCCAAGTGTGTAATGCGTGTGTGCTGTGGCTGTAATTGGCCCTGAGCAGCAGAATGTTCCACAAAACAACAACATAGTCATCATAGGCAAAAATTACGTTATAATTTCTTAACAATATACGACTGCTTGAAACTAAAGTCTAAACCGATGATTACATAAAGTTTATGATGTATCTAGGAAAGGCCCAATTGACCAATTAGCCAATTCAAATAGGTAGCTCGATTGTGAGGATTGCATGGATCTGGTAAGCGCTGCGCATTCCTAACTTGTTTGAGAGCAAAAATAAAATACAAATTCATACATATTTCGTCGTTTCGTATACTCTATTAAAATGTCTGTAGGACGGCTCCAGTCCAGAAGCGTCAGCCACTCTATCAATTGGGGCTGAGCGGAGTCCCGTTTTATAATTTTATTTTATTTTATACATTTTAGATAAAAAAAATACGTACGTACAAAGTACACATGTCACAAGTGAAACTTCTTTGGCAAACTAATTTTTAAGTCTTATTTATTTATTTTATACCAATCTAAATCTTTAGATTTCCGAGAATTAGAGGGAGGGAAAAAGGATGGAAGGAATTTAATGAATTTAATTGTTATTTAAATATTAATTGTGTTGAAAATTAATACAAATTATATAATTTTTTTTTAATTTATTTCTTCGATAATAAAAACACGTGGCATTTTAATTCACAATTCGTCATTTGAGATTTCAATAAATTAATTTGCATAAAATATAAAATACTTATATTTCATAAATTCTCTTTACGAAATTTTAATTCTAAAAATATAATTTCTATAAGGTTATTCGCCCTCTCTCAATCGCTTTCTCCCTTTTCTTTGACAAAAACGCTGCACATGTTCGTGACGCTAATATTTTTATTGCTGCGTTTCGTTAGAAGTTTCACTTCAAAAACTGTTTTGTTAATGATTATTTCCATATATAAAAACATTGATGACTGTGTGCCCTAAAGCGGTCCCATTGCTGAAAAACATACCTCTCTCATTAGCTCGGGATCGAAAACGTAGAGCACCGGTCGCTTACGGGAAGTCTTGCCCAACCGAACCAAACTTCCATATTTTTCCTTTAAGCTGTCCAGCAGACCCAATCCAACGGTGTGATGATAGCATCCTATTAAAATGACATCTATGATTAATATATCAATATTAAGCTACTTAATTTTGTTTAATTGAAATTTGTATTCTTATTTGAATTTCATATATGATAGGGACTCAAATAATGCGTAACTAAACTTTTGTCTTAATTAAAAGTGAATTTTGTTTTTGGCAATCATAATTTAATTATTTTCGGATGGATAAAACTATAATGGTTTATAACTAAAGACTGTCCTTCATGGCTATTTTAAGACATAGTGAAATGCGTGTAATGCGTGTGTGTGCTACGTGAGCGCCCTGGTATATATGTGTATGTGACGGAGAGCGCAGGAAACAATGTACATAATGAAATAAGTAATCTGTATCAATTAAGATTTAGAAAGATATGATAAATTTAGCCTATTTACAATTGCACACAAGAAAATAAATGCGCATTTTTCTTTTTCATGTGTCCTATTTTATTACTGTCACTTTTGCTTTTTACTATATTTACTTGTTAAAACAAATAAAAAGGCACACTAACGAAACACATACAAACACTTACAGAGAACACAATACATGCATGTGTATAAATGACAAGTGTGCACAGCATTTAAAGGAAACATTACAATGATAAAAGAGAAAAGAAATTATATATTAAGAAATACAAATATGTAATTAAAAAATTTAATTATTTCTACTTTGCAATTGTTATTATTAGTGGCAGATTAACAGTGGCTGCAGCATCTTACACCTGAAGACATGGAGACTGTCATTGAATGGATCAGCTTCGCATGTACTCAAAGCGTCGTTTACTGCAGATAGAGATCTGTTTAGAGATCAATACAACCGATGTTGGTTAAATATTTTTTTAATTCTTTGCTTTGTACTATTTAGTTTCCATTAATAGTTTAATCTTCTCTTAATGACTATGTGTCTGTAGCACTTCTTGCGCTCATTCATTATAATCTAATTTTTTTTCTCACTATGGTTGCCTGGAAGAAATCGCTCGAGAGCGATACGGCCGCCATTTTCCCTCCTTTTTATTTAATAATGTTAATTGTGTATTTCTGTATACTTGCAACGAAGTGTCAATAAATAAATAATAAACGTAAAATTCGCTTATCTATTGATATGTCTCAATCATGAGAAAATATGTTGTAACTATATTTATAATGTTACTTGTATTCGAATAATTAATATTAATAGCACATTAACGCAATATCCCAGTAAACAATGACATCAAAGCTTTGAACTGATAAGACACGTTTATTATTAGCATGTTCGATTATCGAGAATGGGGTCTTAAGATCATATTCCTTTAAAGCAAAATTTCTAACATGAAAAATGTTGAAGCACTGTACGATCATGAAAACTAAATTAAAAGAAAAATCGGTCAAAACAGTAGCAGCACTCTCTATTCTGTGCCGACTCCCGCCAACTGCTGCAGCAGGTCCTGCTCAACTTTGTCGATCCAGCGGTATCTACTATCTAGTCTCCAACCGCTACGCCGCCTTAGGTATACCTCCTTCACCGTCACACACACCATCGACTTTTTGGGTCTAAGGCAAACCGAATGCCTTACGACGCATTCCGTCACCGTTGGTGGTGCACTGCCAGGGATCGAACCTACAACCTGAGGGATGAGAGTTGCACGTTGAAGCCACTAGGCTAACACTGCTCACTAGATATAAACTATTTACTATTATTATTCTTTTGTTTATGTATATTCGCAGAAATCGCAGACGCTTGGCCGACCCATGGGACTTCTTGGATACAAAACATCTTATTTGCTGCGTCTGCTTTGATTGAGGAAGTTGCATGGCATTAGCGTTTTTCTTTTTTTTCTCTCTTTCTTCTTCTTCTTACACGCGTACGGTGTATATCTCATTTCTTGCATTTCAAAAGTGTTTGATTGTCCTCGTTTTAACATGTGTGATGTTTGAAAGAATAAAATTAAGCCATGTCACCGAAACAGTTTTTAGAACGAGCAATACGTAAAATTTAATATTAATGGAAAATAACGAAACACATATGAATTCCTTAATTTATCCTACTATAATATTATAAACGCGAAAGTTTGTAAGTAGGATGGATGTTTGTTACTCTTTCACGTAAAAACTACTGAATGGATTTTAATGAAACCTTACAGTAATATAGCTTATACATCAGAATAACACATAGGCTACAATTTATAAAGATATTGTGTGAATCGTCCAAAATATCGAGTAAGTAGGAAAAATCTACCATTTGCGAGCTATTCTAGCATGCGCTGCCAAAACTGCTAGAGTTACACATATGTAATGTATGATGGAAATGTTTATCTTAAATAGTCCTAAATAAAAGCCCGCCACTGTATATATCTATGTCTTATGTGTAATCCATTGTAGCCAAATTAGTGAACCATTACAACAATAAAAAATTATAATTTGTTTTAAATGCACATTTGGTAGCAATAAATTGATTCCTAAATGAAAATAGATACTTTTATCGCTTCTGGTATTAAAAGTATGTCTTTCACACTACATCATTTGGACAAATATTATTTCACCTAAAATAAAATTTGTAGATACAAACATTGACGTAAAATGCTTGTATTAACAATTCACAATTTGACACCATTTCATGAAAGCACGCGGCCATAGCATGATTTCCCGCCAATTTTGATAGTGTTCACAGTTGCCTAATAATAAAGGTTATCTATGGTTTCAAAACCTATATTTATATCGCATAGTCCGAGCTTACATCAATTTAGTGTTCTGTGCCAAACGTAAACTGCACCAAAAAGCATTTTGATTAAAATTAATATTAGAATATAGATTATAGAGGGATGCCGTAAAACAAATTCGAGAATTCTGACTTTAGTTTAAACCAGAAACGCTTGATAACGTGAAAATTTCAAGAACAACAATACAAACAAATTTGTTTTTATGTTCGATGTTAAATTACACGAAATATATAATATCAATACTATGTTACAATAATAATCATGATGATTACCTATAATAATTTATGCTGCAAGCGATAAAAATATAATTTGAAATTCAAATTGATTGATGCGTCATTTATTAGCACGTCTCGGCAACTTGAATGTAAACAATGCGTCGAAATAAGACTACCGTTATTATTGTTTACGACTTGTTTTTAAATAAAAATATCTCTTAATCCAAAACGCATGCAATATTAAATTTAAGAAAAATAATATATATATAAATTTGCTTTACAAGGAGAATTAAATTTATTAAGTATATAATCTTTTATTAATTAAAGGCATAGCGGTCTAGTCAGACAAATTTTTGAAGGTCGTTTTCATACTCGTGTTTTCTTGCACTAGAAATTTCAGCGTACCAAAACCTTTGGTATCAGATTCAAACGAAGAACCTTAGGGTTATAAAAAAGTTATTAAACAAAATACTGCTAATAGATACATTAAAAATAGCGTATTTCAACATACCCCACTTTAAACCTTATTGTGTAACGTAAGCAAATGGCTCACATCCTTCATCACATTCAATAGGATAATAAGGATGTAGGTACATTCCTATTTAAACCATAAGGAAAAATAACTTATTTATTAGATTAGCTATTGCTTGCAGTTCAGTTTCTATTGCGTTCTGCTTTGACAATGTGTCCATACTAATAAATTCTACTATTTCTATTGCTGCCGGAATCCAAAAACTATTTGAATTAAAATAAAACTTATAATCTAAATACAAAATATGGCAGCTCGATGCTCCGCACGATTGCTTACTTGTCTACATTATATCTAAATTCTAAGTAACTTATTGTAAAGTGTCCCACGGTCTTTATTACGCCGAGTATGCACAATTTGACACCGTGGAACCACTGGTAGGGCTACACATACTGGTCATGTCATATTTTAAGAACATATTTTTAGTACTTTTCATGAAAAATGCTTTAACATTTAAATATTAGTTCGGACACACGAACATAGTGTCAAAACATTATAACACTAAGACTGTTAATGAGCATTACCTTAGTTTAAGCTATTTACTAGTATTGTAGAAACATAATATTACTTATTAGCCATAACTATTGTATAGGCTAGATTGTAATTCATGTAAAGTCGCATACTTTTGTTAACTTTATTGTAGGAAAACAAAATATTTCTAGTTAGGAATTGCGTTGATTATGTAATTAGAGTGTTTATAATAGATAAGGTATCATATAAGATTACGAGTCAATACAATAAGATAAAACTCCAATCGAAATATTGATCTCTGGTTTAAGGTGATTTTATTTTTTGTTTTTAGTATAATTAAGAGACAGTGCGTAAAATTTGCAAAAGGCACAGTGCAGGCATATTGTTTCATCAGCGAACAACAACCAAACATAAACAATGATTGCCTTGCCATGATTTGAAGTTAATACTTTTATTTGAACCACTAAGCCACAGCGCTTTGCTTTTGCAGATGTTAAAGATCCAAAATGTTTGCTCACCTATTCTTGGTAATACGTGCTCATGATGCTTCATCATCGGAAGAGCGATTGGTCCAGGGATGTCCGCGAAGCGTTTATATGTTTTTGCAACTGCAGGTGCCACGGCATTGTGCCGCTGGGGTGATGTCGACGTCCTTCCTGATGATGAAGTGGATACACGACGAGGTCGGGAAATCCTATGAAATGTATTAAATATATCTCTCAAGTATACACATATTTATTTATTGATGTTTATCATAATTATTTTTTTTTAATAATTAATTAATCATAATTAATTAACAGTACTAAGGTATCTTTTCTAAAATATATGACAATTTTGGTAAACATAAATGCTACAATAAATAAAAATACTAATATAGTAACTGTTGCTTATTGTAAAGCAAAAAAAAACCCCGCAAAACAGCGGATTAGGTATGAGGTAGGCACTTAACAATGATGCTCAAGACTATATCTTCCTTTTCAGTTAAATGACAGTTTGTGTCAACAAATTTTCATACAAATTTAGTTTTCGACTTTCTACATACACTACTGTTAAGGCATCTTGACTAAGCCCCCAGAAACACATTAGTCCATAACTTAGGAAAGAGAGACACGTAAATCTCCCATCTGTTACTGTGTACTAATTCAGATTAGAAAATAAATCTCTTAAAACTACATACCTGTTTGACAACACAACGTGATTGAATTCACAAAAAGGATTTATATGTTACACGTATTATTAGCTTAATTCAGCAACTGTTGATAAACTTATAATCTGTAATTTAAACTAAATACTATAGAGTACTGAAAATTCAATCGCATTAGTTTACTGTTTAAAAATAAAAAAATAATCTTGATTTGGTCTGCGCACATTACGGCATCGCTCACGCGCGCACCTCGTGCACGAGATGTCTTCATAAAGCTGATTAGTTTACGTGAGTGGTTTTTATAAGTTATTATTTATAAAGTGGCTTATGTAAAGATTTAATTAAGGACTTAAATATCGCATCACTCTGTGCAATAAACGCGTGACCAACTAGATAGAGCATCTCATAAGATTTAGTGAACTTTGTTTATAGTTCCTCTATCTAAAGTCCTTATCAACAGACGCTTTCTGTCCGAAATAATTATTATTTTTCTGTAAATCGTACACCCTTTAAAAAATCTTTTGTAATTACAACAAAATATATATTTATTATTTAAAACAGTATCATTTAGTTGAATTTATTTTGTCAATTCTCTTTAGACAGCCACATAACCACAGATTAAAACTATACGTTTAATGGTAAATAAACCATATCATTTCCAAGTAACGATATACATTGTACTATTTGCGCATAATGAACTTTAATACATTGTAATAAGAATTGAACTTCATTGTTTTAATTGCAAAGTACTGAGAAGTAAAGACGCAAAATGCAGTTGCCAAAGGATTTGACCAAGAGCTAAAACGATCAATTTATGTAAATAATATACTAAAAATATTGAAAAATATATGACTGGAGTTGTTATCGGAAACGTGAACGTTAAAATACAATTTATAAGTGTGGTAAAAACTAAAGGGCTAAAATTAGGTTACATAACTCTGGCTACATAACTCTATTTTTGTTTTAATGTAACAGTGGGCAATCGGACACCTGATGTTAAGAGATACAGCCGCCCAAGGACACTCTCAATGCCAGAGGGCTTGGTATGCTCTTTTCTTGAAGGACCTCAAGTCGAATTGGTTTGGAAATTCTTCAGTGGGCAGCTGGTTCTACAAAGTGGTGGTGCCTTAAAAAACGCTCAGCTGTGGAACGACACGTGGTGGAATTTCGTTTTCTGCCATGATGTCCGTAACCATATCCAATTTAAGCGATTCTATATTTTTTACTTTATTTAAATTGTCCATTGCCGATTTTTATAAAAACTAATTTCTTTACGTAGTAAGTAAGTAGTACATTTTATATCACTGGATTATAGCTCTGTGCATTTTAATATACCTTTAATATCCATAGCCTGTTGTAGGGAAGGGCTTTTGCTACCACAGATAGTAAGTAGATTCGGGGTAACATTATAAGTGTCCATTTTCGTAAACGATCTTTGACGAATATTTCAATTATGTTATCAAGAAAAACTTGTTAGGAAGTTTTATACATGTTAACCAAACAATATAAATGATATTCTCATGATACTCGATTCTCATTAGATAAATAATAACATAAGAGTTTTTCTTGGATTTTGTTCCCTTTGGAGTAGACTCTTGGGCCGTGGGGTTCAAGTGCATCAAAGATTTAAATTGGCACCTGGTAGATAGTACCGGTGACCCCAGAGCTTGTGCTTTCCTCGCTCAACGAATAAGTATCAATTAGAAAAAAAATGTATTTATCATTTTAATATTATTATTATTATTACTATGTAGGTTAAGAATATTGTAAGCTGTACCGCTGTATAACAGTATTATACTGTAATATACAAGTAGATCATTAGCTCTTTGGCTATGATATGGAATTCAATACACAATTCAAGTTCAAGGGCAAGAAAAACAAGGGTCTGCAATTACTCATTGGACCGGTTCGATGTAATCTTTTGCGTCTTTATATGCTAACAGTTTAGTACTATTATAAATTAGTTCTAGTACTAGTACTAAACTAGTAGAGCAGTGTTGGCCTAGTGGGTTCAGCGTGCGACTCTCATCCCTGAGGAGCAGTGCACCAATGGACATTCTTTCTATGTGCGCATTTAAAATTCGCACGAACGGTGAAGGAAAACATCGGTGCAAAGTCGGGGATCGAACCTACGATCCCAGGGATGAGAGTCGTTAAAACCACTAATCCAACCCTGCTATTATAATTAATTACTTTTATGAATACATTCCAAATTAATATACCAGCGGAAACTGCGCAAGACTGTACTTTTGCTTTCGTCTGTTTAAGCAAGATTCTTTGGTACTTCAATATGAATCAATTAACATAAAACTTATTATACATTTAATCCCACTGTACAAAAATCCATTCGGTAATTGAAGTAGTTATCACGTTTATAGAGACAGATTTATGAAAGGATACTAAAAAATCAAGAATGTTTTAGCGAAGCTTAATCTAACGCGAAATAAACTAAAAGTGAAAGTGACTTAATTAACAACTCCTATTAGAAAGTATTTCATCATAACTTTCAAATAAACAAAAAATTGCAAATGCAGTCTGCAGTTTGTTGAACCGTACATTGACCTCATAAATGTATAGAGTATTTTTGTACACTAATAAACAATGGATATTTATTATTCATAAAAACTTTGCAAGATTTTTGTAATCGTTCTAAAATTTGATTGAGATGTCATGTTCAGTATTTAATAGTTCTTAGATTTAGTAAACATCACCTTGGCGATGGCTTATTTATAAATATATGCAATCATCTCATATTCCAAGTAATATAATTTTTTTATAATAAATTGTTTGAGCACTAGGATAATTAAAATGTCAAAATGTAGTTAATAAAAATACACACATTGAGTTGAAATTGTTGTCATAATAATTTAATCAATTTGTATTGTTAATGATATTAATTTCCAACATATACACAGAATTTACAATATTCTTAACTTATATAGTAATATTAAAAATAAAAAATTAAAACAATGTTTGTTTATAGTACCCACATTTTGTCATATTTGTATTATTATCACTACTACCGACAATTTTGATAGTATTTTTTGCTAACAATAAGCAAAATAATTCAAGTATTTTTAATTTTTTGTAACTTGATTATCATAATTGTAATATATTTAAGAAAAGATAGTTTGTAACATATACTATTGATATAGCACTATGTATGAGGTGGTGAACTTTAATAACAAATAAATAGCTGTTAATTACTTTGTAAATACTCACATGCATTGTCGCATAAACACTGTCGGCTTAGCCATCCTTCAATCATTAATACACTGCACAATAATATTAAATATAGTAACGGTGATGCGAGTGCCTGACCCGACTGCTTCACGTGTTATGCCGGTTATGCGTGCGAGTGGCGTTCGCTGATTCGACTTAAATTAATAGTGTTGGACAGGGATATCGATGTTGTTTTATTTTAAAAGTTATACTTCTTCTGGCGCGTTGGGGAAAAATGATGAGAGTAATTTTTTACGATGCGCGCGCACACCGTCACCAAAATCCGACACCTTGAAGTTAGCTATAGTCCACATTTTAGCTTTTTTGAAGTTATACTTCTTTTAGCGTGTTAGGGAAAAATGATGAGAGTAATTTTTTCTATTGTTAGTGTCGTTTTTCTACAAACGTAGAATGTTTTGAAAAGATTTTTATTTTGTTACGCCAAAGAAGCATAACTTCTAACGCGTAACACACACGTTTTTTTTTATATATTTGGGGGCAAACAGCAAGACTCAACTGATGTTAAGTTATACTTAACATACTACAAGCAATATTTAAGCCTTGACTTGTTTAAGCTATTGCGGACTATGCTTAATACTACTTAATACTCTTTGTATTAAGAATATTCATATCGCTAAATCACCTGCATCACGAGCACACTCTACATACACACCCTCACTTTGACACCATTACACAATACACGACGAATTAGGTATTATTTAGTTAAATCTATTGATTATTTTTTTCCTTTTGTAATTGTTTGAACGATCTTTAGAATAATTGTTTTTTTATTTAGTCAAGTATGTTTAAATATTGAAACAAATAATTTTAGTATTGATACAAATTCAGTGGTCCCTATAATATCGATATAAATATTGTGCACACATCACTAGTCGTACTTTGGACTGTGGCGTTGTTTACGTTTTTTGATTCAATAAATGACCAAGGTCCTTAAAGTATGTAACGGGTTATTTCGCAACTGTCGCGAGTAATTTGTTTATGCACTTCTGGTTCTATATATGTGCAGCGCTACTGGAATGTCCTCACCCACTCTAACAGCTTTTTCCTGTTCACAGACCTCAAGAGAATGCTCGCTGAACAGAAATTTTGCATTGATGAAGAGATAACCACCGATCCTGAAGCCTATTTTGAGAAGACAAATTGTACTAAAAAAACGCTATAACAGTTGTAACACTCTCGAAGGCAACTATATAGAATAATCAAATCAAATTCTATTAAAGTTTTTATATGTCCATTTAATAGCTACAATAGGATTAAATATCTCACGTATGAAATAGAAACAATAGCAGCAACGACCTTGATAATTCAAGGTCGTTGCTGCTAGGCCGAAAGCCCTCTACCAAGAAACTGGATTGAATGATATATAGTATATACCCTATATTTAAGAAAATTTACTTCCTATTTTTGTCAGAAATTACCCTAAATAATATTTAACTTTAATAAAAGAAAAACGCTTGAAAAATTAATTTGGGTTAATAAATAATAATTAAATAGTACGTGAATTGTATTGTTATAAATAAATATGAATGGAAAAATGTGTTGCTAAGCGCACAACTCGAAGACGCCTGGACCACTGAGTAACTTTTGTATTTATTCCTTAAACTCTGAGGTTTTTGTGGAAAAATTAGAAAATGTAGAAAAATTCAGTACCTACTTAATTTTATTCCGGAAAAGTGAGTAGTTTCCACAGGGTAGCATAGCAAAATGTTCCATATGTTGATATGCTACTAAAGAGGTAGGCCAAGTACATATTAAAATATACTTTTTTAGAGAGTGTTTGATAGAAATTTTATATTTTATTCTCAGTTAAGTTTTACCGATATTTGAGTTTAGTCTAGACATACGTTGTTTTTTTCCTCCAACTTCGATTTTGTTCCCTTTGTAGTAGACTCTTGTGCCGTGGTGTTCAAGTGCACAGGCGCTAATTAAAGATTTAAGTTGGCGCTTAGTAGATAGTTCCGGTGACCCCAGAGCTGGTGTTTTCCTCGCTCAACTAATAAGTATCGCAATACAGCGAGGAAATGCGCCAGCGTTAAAGGTACCGAAAGGGACCAAACTTTTTAAATTTTTTTTTAATTTTCTTCTCATTAACTTCGTTTGTTGACATTTTAACAATATTACAAAATTTTCAATAAGAAATATTTATTTTAAGAAAGATTTTATTCTCACATATTAAAGCCTTAACGATTTTGAAAAACATTAAATCTGATATGATTAAAGTTCCTCGATCTTATTCTTTGTTTTAATTCGGGGTCAACGAAGCCAACGTGCGCAGGCGCATGCAACGTCTGGCGCGTACGTGTGTACACACATGTCAATTCATTGCTAAATACTTTTGAATATATTACTTTTTATTTTATCTAATCATTGTTGCAATAACAAAAGGTAGTTTAGTACTAGTAAAATTCAATAAAACTGATATGTGTTGTATGTAATACTAATTTTGCTTGAATTGGATTGAAAATCACTTTTTTAACGGATTGAAGTCATGTTTTATTATAAATTTATATAATAAAAGTCTGTGCTTCAATGGATGTTAAACGTGGAAGGTCACAAACGACTTCTCGCACCGGCGCCAAGTCTACGTCAACCACTGTCTCCGCCGTATTCTGGGTATCTACATGCCCGAGAAGATCTCCAACTAGCAACTCTGGGAACGCTGCCGAGAAACTCCGATTCCCATATCAAGTGACGCAAGTGGAACTGGATAGGCAGCTCCGAACAAATTCCAATTGAATCCCCAAGCAGGCACTTGATTCGAACCCGCAAGGAAAGTGGAAACGTAGCGGTTCAAGCAAACCTGGCGTACAGTTGCAGATGAGGAAAAGAGAGCCAAAAAGACTTGAATCGAAGTGAAATATGAAGCTCAAGACCAAACTCGCCGAGGACTTACTTTGGACGCTTTCTTCCCCACCATTCAAGGTTCATAGGATGTTATGTCAAAAGACCTCTCTCTATAAAAGTTCTTAAAACTGTGTCAATATGGTCCTGTAACAACATCCCGAGGATACAGAATTACAAATTATAAGGAAGGACATGAACAAAATTGTCTTTCTTGTTTACGCCAGTTGAATATAGTAAAAAATAACGCCATCAATACAACACGCAACTAATATTCAACACGAAGAACCCAAGTTCAATTACAAGAAATATTAATAATTTCGATATTAAAAGGTCACTTGATCGAGCCTTAATTAATAAAGCATATGGAGGTAGTATTGGCCTTTAACTTCACACTTGCAAAGTAGAAGCTAAGCTGTTGTTTAGTACAAGCTTAAAGTTAAAACTTTGTAGGCTGTTATCTTAAGATAACCAATGGGTAAGCAAAATGTAAATTAATTTGTTTAAGCGAATAGGCTCTTGGGGGTTGAAGATAAGCAAAAATTTAGTTTGTAATTATGTTATAAAATATTGCTATTTATAATCTACGTCCAAGCCTTTAATTACATTTATTTCATTTGAGTTTAAGACTATTATAAACACAGAAAATGAAATATTTTCAAGTGATAATCACTCTAAAGAAATACAGATTATTATTATCATTATTATTATTATTAACTCTAAATAGCGAGCCCCACTTTACCAACTGACCAACGGACACACATTTTGGTGGAAGAATAGTCATATAATCTGGCATCCAAAATCATTTTTTTATATAAAAGGCGGAAAACGACAGTAGGCTCGGCTGTTAAGTGACAAGGCTCAAATTGCCAGGAGGTTTGTAAGTGCGTTGCCGGCCTTTTAAGAAATGGTTCGCTCTTTTCTTAAAGGACCCTAAGTCGAATTAGGTTGGAAATACTTCAGTGGGCAGCTGGTTCCACATAGTGGAGGTGCGCAGAAAGACTGTGGTGGTGAAATTTCGTATTCTATCTCGACGTCCATCCTGGTAAAAGATCAATGATGAGCGCCAACCTTCGAAAGTAGGGGGCATTAAAAAAGAAGAACCTGATTGTTGTACCCAGCGATCCCAAGGGTGGTTGATTGAGAGGCAAAGCCGGAGTCGATATCACTATTGATATAGGCACTTATAAATTTGGGTAGTTTCTTGGTTCTGATAGATGATTTTAATATCACAGTGAGAAAATAAAACGTCTGTGCAAATAACTGTAACGATAATTTCCCTTGAGTATCGCAGAATTGTAAAACTATAAATCGTATAATACGTGTGGGAAACACTTGTTACGAGTTTACCACTTGCTTCTGCTCATTAAAGGTTTCTAAGAAAACTTTAAAGTTGTGTGAAAACTCTCCAAAGGCCTGAGGAATACTTGATCTGTTTCTCTGATAAGATTTAACAGCGAAGATCGTATAAAACGAAACACAAATATTTTATTCCACAGGGACGTATGTAAACATATGTATGTATAATTTATAAGTATATTCACTAAAGTTTAGGGGCAACCCCTTGACGAGGGAGATGTTCTGGTACAGAGTTACGAAATAAGAAAAAGAGTGCAGTCCTTCAGTTTAAATGAAATAGAGAAGTCGTACATAGTACAAAAATGTGTAAGGTGGTACAATCGTAAGGTCACATATTCTGCCACACACAATGGCGCGCAAATTTGTCTTTAAATTTTTTTACATTCTACATTATTAGTCATATGAATTGGTCAATTCTTATATTATTTGTATCGTACATATCATATCATACGTTATTAAATTTATATCAATTACAGTCTCACGCAAATAATTATTTATTGAATAGTAATTTTTTTCCAAAAGTAATACACCAAGTCGCTTTTTAAAGACTCTAGTCGGAAGAAGTTTTAATTCTTTTGGTAAATTATTTTGATTCCATACTCCGTGTTTTTCTTAAACAGTTCCAGATTGATTTTTGGCACAGCCAATTTCTCCCCATGTCTACTTTACAAGTATTCTATTTGCATTCATGTTTTAATTACGCCTATCAAGCTCAGCTTAAGTTTTCGATACAAAAGCCTATCATTATTTTTGTTTAAAAGCTTTTCGAATTAATTCTTTACTTTATATACAGATCGCAGTGTTGGCCTAGTGG